ATGAAAATATTATTTTATTAAAATTTAATTAATAAACTAATATTTTCGTACTTAATGTGAGAAAATTTTTTAGAATAAATATTTATTATAAATTGTTTTCTTAATTTTAATTTTTTTTATTTATGTCTGAGAATATTCGCAATTTTTCAAAATATTTTTTAAAATTAAATTAATATTGGAAAATAATTATGGGAAGGAAAATTTTTTTCTGACCCTACTTTTTAATTTAAAAGGTTTTGTTAGTCTCGGTCAGTATCGTTTCTCGGTATCGGTCTCGGCTCAAAATGTTGGTATCGGTCTCGGTATCGGGTTCTTGAGTATCGGTCAATCTCGGTCTCGGGTTGGCCGATACCAGTATCGTTTTGATCAACTCTACTTTTAAATAAGGTTATAACTCTATTTTACGTACACTCCTATGACTGAAATTTTTATATATAAACCAGAAGTCTATTTAAATATAGGGTACATCAGAACTGGTCATGGATACAGATATAAAAATGCCTGCGGATATCCACCTGTATACGTCTGTATCGCAGTAAATATCCGGATACGGATACCAAAGTCAGTATCCGTGACTAGGTCTGGGGGTGCATATTCAATTGGGGGTTTTTGAAAATTTTTTTGGTATTTAATAACGAAATTTTCTACTAAAAGATGATGAAATAAATTTTTTAAACCAAATCTTTGTTTCTTAAGCTCATCAAGAAGCGTTTTAAATATACAAATGTATAAAAAATTTTTTATTTCACAGCGTAAATTAAATAAAAATTATTGCTTTAAATTTTCAAGAAGCAATTATAAATGTTATAATTATCCATTTATGTCAACGTTTAATAAAATAAATAATTGGTATATATATATATTAGTGTTGGACGGGAGTTAAAAAAGCCGAGAATCAAGGGAAATCCCGACTCGGGAAATTCCGAAGAAAATCCCGACTCGGGAACCGAGACCAAGTCTCGAACATCACTAATGCCTGTTTTAAAATCTCACTAAAATTAAATTTTGACGCCGACATATACTTAATTTTAATTTGCTTCAAGTAGTGTGGTTCAATTTATATAATTTAAAAGTGCAGTTTTTAATTTAACAATTTATTCGGTATACGAGATTCTCTCTCTCGGTATACGAGATTCGACGTATACCGAGTTTTGTGTACTTTTTAATTTACGTTTAATTAATAAGAATTAGAGACCGGCAAAATCGCACTTCCAGAATCCCGAATCGGGATTTTTTTCTTGACTGATGCCGGGACGGGATCCTGAGGGATAAATCCCGAAAAAATCCCGGATCCCGGTTGATCCCGAAAATCAAAAAAATCCGGGATTTCGGGATCGGGATCCAGGAAAATCCTGTCGGGATCCCGTCCCGCGCCGGTCTCTAATAAGAATGTGTAAATTATATAAAAGAGTTTTCTTGTTAAAGAAAAATAATTTGTTAGATTAAAAAACACTCTCGAAGGAAATATTAATTTTCCTTATTTTTACATTTATTTAAAGCATATTCAAGCAAACTATTTTTTCTTTTATTGTTCATTCTCTCCCTTTAAAATAAATTAAACAGAGAATGATAATAATTTGAAAAGCAAAAATCCAAATTTTTTATTTTCTTAACTATTTAAAATTTATGTAATTTCGAAAAATAATTCAAAATAATCAAGAATTATCTAGCAAATTTTGGATTTTTGAAAGGATATTCTCCAAAACTTATTAAAGTAGAAAACATAAAGAAGGTCTTCACTCAATGAAGACAATTATAGGCACTGGTTTTTCTTTTTTCATATTCAATATCAATTACTTCCAAAGTTTATTTTTTCGTTTCGTGTTTCGTTTCGTGTTTCGTTTTTTCGTTTCGTGTTTCGTTTCGTGTTTCGTTTTAATAATAATTTTTTCAATTTCGTTTCGTATTTTTTAAAATATTTTCGTTTTGTTGATTTCAATAATTATTTGAAGTTATATGGTAATTTCATTAATTTTTATTTTAATTCCTACTTTTTACTTAAAAAATAACAGTAAAATTACCCCAAAATTTAATTTATTTAAATAAATATTTACATAAAAAATGTTTACTAAAAATTTTCTTATCTTGATTAGTTAATCTTCTCATTTTACTTTTTTATTTGTAAATACAAACAAGAAAATGGTCAAAACTGTCACGTAAAGCAATCTAGAGCGATTGGGAATTGAAAAAAATGGTTGGTAGAAATAAGCGAAATATAAGGGAAAATGAAGAGACGGTTAGAGAAAATTTAGAGGTTAGAGAAAAAAATAGAGAAATTAAGGGAAAGTGCTGATAATTAAAAAATAGGGGAGAAATGGAGTAAAACTGAAAATAAAAAATAATTTTTACAGATTTGAGCAAACTGAAAAAAATTTTTTACTGATAAGCCGAGAAAACGAAAACGTAAAAAATTATGTGTATTTCGACGAAAAAATAATTTTTATTTTGTGTTAATTTAATTTTTAGTTTATTTGTGGTCTTAGATAAAATTTTGTTTTATTTTTGTTTTCAAAGCAATTTTTGTTCTCATATTTTTTGGCCAAATAATAAAATAACCATTAATTATTAATTAAGAAATACAAGTCAGCAGAACCCCTCCTCAAGGGATACACACTGTGGGAGCATAAAATAAACCTTATAATGAGGTGTTTATTAAATTGGGGCAGCATCTCCCCCGCAGTTCCCCTCTAATTAAGCAGCTCACCAGCCCAATGACGCGTTTATTAGATAGAGGTTTTTCTTGTATTGGGGGTCTTTTAGGAAGAGGTTTGACCTTATAGTGAGTGATACGTTAAATAGAGGGGAACTTAAATAAGGAGCTCCCCCTCCGAGTGACAACCGGCTTTAAAACACATTTCTAAAGAGAGATGTATCTTGTATCTCATTATGCTTTACAGAGCTGTTGGGGGTGATGACTAAGCTTTCTCACTTAACCGATCATCAACCCCCGCTTAATCATTTTAATTGCTGCCAGATGAATCATCCCTTCATTTATTTATGTCAGTCGATTAGGCCAACATTCCATTTTTCATTATTGTCATCCTTATTCGATTAAAATCATCGTCTGTGGCTGATAAATAATTTTCCTTTAATTTTTTAATTTAGAAAATTTTTTTTTAAAAACTAAAATGGCGAAAATGACTCTTTTCGCAAATGTCTTTGTGCCAACTCCTAATTTTAGATAAACCTCCATTTAATTTACACGTTTTTCAAACTGCTTGGTCATTGGATGGTGGCGTTTCTAAAAAATACCCCCTGTTTAGGATACGCTCATTATAAGAATTTTCTCCCTCCTCCCCCCCATACCACTACTAAATACACCTCTATTTAATAGACGCTTTTTAAAGATACATATTTCAAACTGGTTGAGTACTGGGTACAAGAGCCTCCAGAAAAATACTCTCTATCTAACGTACATCTCATTATAAGGTAACATTCCTAAGGGGACTTGTTTCAAGCTGGTTTATCACTGGGTTAGGGAGCTTCCAGAGATTTACTCTCCATTTAACATACACTTTAGTATAGAGAGAGACAATTTTTCTATCCTTAAGAGACTTTAGAAAAAGTTCCCGGCCGTATATTAATTTTACTATTGCCAGTCATCTTTACTTGTTTAAACAATTTATCAAGTCTGTGACTGATAAAAAATTTTTTCTTTAAATTTTTTAAATTTTAGTAAATTTATTTTACTAGCCATAAAATGCTAGTACATAAATGCCTTAAACGATTTATTTTTTTAATTTTATTTTTAATCTCGTTATCGTCCCTAAAAAGGTAATTTAATTTTTAAAGTCAAAAATTTTTATTTTTTAAAATTTTATTAAAGTGCAACACGCACTGAACGTGAAGGGATTAATGGGCAAGATGTAGGCGTTAATATTGAGGTGAATTTAAGAAAATTTTTAATCAAGAAACTTTCAATGAATCTAAAAGCAAGAAAAAATATAATATACCGTATACCCATTTTCTTGCATTTATCAAAAAATATCAAGAGTATCCCTCTTCTCCTTAAATAAACACTTGCGACATTTGAGTTCATTAGACATTTGCGTACAAAACAGGGTAGAAATGGACTTCGAACGGGGAGGTTTGTACGAGAATCAAGATTGATATCTCTCTATAGCTCGCTCTCGATATCCGAGATCTAATCTCGGTCCAGGCTTTAGTTAAGGCTGCTGAAGTTCGATAGCCTCTTCATGGTTGCTGGGACAGAACATTTTTAATATTAGTAGATGAGAAGAAGTCCGCCCAGCTCGCCTAGTATTTTATTATATGGAGTAATGTACCCCAAACAATTCAAAGCTTTATTTAATAAAAAATTAGGGAGTTTCCTCAAATGTCGCCTTTGAAAATTCAACACTAAGGCTAAATACTAATAATCCAAATCATACGCAAAAAATCCCCAACTTAAAGCAAAATATTTTTATAACTTTAAGTGGCTAACAGACGATCAACTGAGCGAATTGAGCGAAACAGAAGGCCGCCCAGCCCGCCTAGTTAAGCTTAAACAATTTTATGACGCCTTAGAAGACAGCAAAGCCAAGACTGAAGCAACAAACAAAATTGTAGAACAGTGTTATGATTGGCTAAGTGAAGTGGTTAGTGAAGAAGAGAAGAGTGAACTTGAACAGTTGCATGAAGCTAATCATGAGGAATGCCACAAAAAGGTCCATGAATATTTAAACAGATTGGGGGAAGACAAAAGGGGGCAAATTGAGGAGAAACTTCCCTTCTGTGAACATGTCTGGTATGGACAGGCACATAAACACGAGCATCCGGAAAATGATTCCGGAAAGGAAGAAGAAAAAACTGAAGCAAAGGAAGAGAATAAAGTAGATGAAAAGAAAGAAGAAGAGCATAAGCATGAACACCATCATGCTAAGAAGCGATGGGTAATATTTTTATATTTTGAAGCATTTTGCTTCAGAATCATATTTTTGCTTCATTTTTCCTTTATTTTTGCTTCAGCTTCATTCCTTAACCTCATTATTAAATTTTGCTTCAGAATATTTTTTGCTTCACTTTTGTTGGCTTCATATTTTTTGCTTCATTTTTTATTTTATCTTGCTTAATCAGATTATTAGATATTTGCTTCAGCTTCCCGTTTTGCTTGATTATTAAATTTTCGCTTCATGCTCCTTTTTGCTTCACCCCTGCTTCAGGTGAAACTTTGCTTCAGCTTCCTGTTTTGCTTCATTTTCCTGGTTCATTGTTAAAATTTTGCTTCAGCTTCTCGTTTTGCTTGATTATTAAATTTTTGCTTCTGACTCCTTTTTGCTTCATTTCTCTGCTTCATTATGAAATTTTTGTTTCAGTTTCCTGTTTTGCTTCATTTTCCTTGTTCATTGTTAAAATTTTGTTTCAGCTTCACTTTTTACTAAGATTTATATTTATTTTTGCTTTACTTTAAGGCTCATCGTCATCGTCGCGACCACGATCATTTTGCTCACGATGATGGAGTCCACGAGCATCACGAGCTTGAAGACTATTTACGCACACACCTCTCTTGGTTAACAGACGAACAAAAAGCTGAGATGCGTTCTCTCAAAGCGGAGGGTGCCGGTAAAGAATCTTTACGTTCAAAAGCGATGCAATATCTCGAGCAGAGTACTGGAGAGCAAAGAAATGAAGCAATAAAACAATTAGTTAGTGGATGTAGAGAATTGTTGCGTAGATTGTTTGGAGCTGAAGCAGCTGAAGAACTGAAGCAAATGAGGGAGAGTGGAACGACTTATGAGGAATTGGAAGTAAAAATTGGGAAATTGACTGAGGCTTTGGATGATGAAGGGAAAAGACAGAAGGTCTGTTATGGAAGAATTTTTCTTTCACGAAACTCGAAATTTCGAGAAATTTCACGGAACTCGAAATTTCGAGAAATTTCACGAAACTCGAAATTTCGAGAAATTTCACGGAACTCGAAATTTCGAGAAATTTCACGAAACTCGAAATTTCGAGAAATTTCACAAAACGCGAAATTTCGAGAAATTTCACGAAACTCGAAGTTTCACGAAACTCGAAATTCCGAGAAATTTCACGAAACTCGAAATTTCAAGAAAATTTTCAACTAATATTTTATGAAAAATTTCAGGCTCGAGATTATGGCCCACCATGTAAACGAATATTTGCTTTGAGCATGGCGGTACCCCCAACATATTCTCGCCGTCGTAGAGAATGTGCTCAATGTTCTGAACGTTTAAAACATGCAATAAAAACACACCTTTCTTGGCTCAGTGATGAACAAAAGGCTGAATTAAAAGCTGATGAGATTGCAGGGAAGACGAGGGAAGAAACGAAAGAAAAAGTAATGAAATGGTTTGAAGCCATTGGTGAAGAATCTGAAAAGGAAAAGGCTAGAGAATTGATGAAGGGTGGATGTCGGGAAATGATTAAGGAGGTAGTCATAAGAAATGAAAAATATTATTCTTTCAAAGTCGAAATTTCGTGAAAGTTCAAAAACGAAATTCTAACTTTCGAAACACGAAATTCCATGAAACACGAAATTTTAATGAATTTTTCGAAACACGAAATCCAATGAAACGCGAAATTCTATGAATCATCGAAACACGAAATTACACGAAACGCGAAATTTCAACAAATTTTTCAAAACACGAAATTCCATAAACATATTTAACATTTCACGGAATTAAAAATTTTCTTAAAATATTTCACGAAATTTCGCGAATTTAAAATGTGGTGTTTCGAAAAATTAAAATCAGGAAGAATTTAATTATACATTTCAGCTTCTTGGAGAGGAAGCAGCATCCAAGATAAAGCAAATGAAAGAAAGTGGAGCTACACCTGAAGCTTTGACAGCAGAAGTAGATAAACTTATGGGAGAGATTACAGATGAAAAGAAGAAAGAAACGGCTGCATTATACTCTTCTGCATGTAAACAAGTATTCGGAGTTAAGGCTTCGAGAAAAAGAAGAGATCATCATCATGGGCATGGAGGAGGACATACTTTAGAGGATTACTTCAAAACTCATTTAAGTTGGTTGGATGATGGACAGAAGGAAAATCTTAAAACAATGAAAGGGGAGGGAAAGACAAGAGAGGAAATGCAGAAGCAGGTAAATTGAATCATTAAGAAAGTTGAAAGGTTTCCGAAGATTTCTCAGATTCTGGGGAACCTTTTTCTAGCAAACGATGGTTGTTATAGATCTCCTGTTTCTCTTCCTAAGGAATGCAAACTTAGGGTCTTATGTAAATCCAGAAATGGTAAAGGATTGGATGGGACGTTATCCTGAAACTCTCCGATTGAAAGATGTTAACCTTCCAAACCAGGGCTGTACGCCATTGAAATAAATTTCGCACGCGTAATCCGCAATTATAATGTTAAAATCCGCAAAAGCAATCCGCAATCTGGGGATATAAGTGATAATCTGGGGATATAAGGGGATAAAAGGGATTAAATGTGGTTTTAAGGGATATCCGAAATTGCATGTATCCCTGCTCCACACATCCCACCACTGACTGATCGTTTTAATTTTTGTTTATTTACTAGTCTGGGAGGAAACTTAGACAAAATTAGCCGAACTATGATTTTAATAAATTTTAATCTCTAAGGTAATGGAATGGTTCAACAAATTGGAAGGAGAACCAAAAACAAAAGCATTAGAATTAATGCAGACTGGATGTCGCGAACTTTTAAAAATAATACTCGGGGAAGACAAAGCTATTGAAGTTAAAAACATGAAAGAAGCTGGAACTGATATAAATTTAATAAGTAATAAAATAAATGAATGGATTAATGAATTGAGTGAATCTAGCCATTTACGAAAATTGGCAGAAGAATATAAACCTGTTTGTAGACAACTTTTTGGGGTTGGAGAAGAGAAGAAACCTGCAGGAAGGAAACGAAGAGATCATCATCTTGGACATGGAGGAGGACACACTTTAGAAGATTACTTCAAAACTCATTTAAGTTGGTTGGATGATGGACAGAGGGAGAATCTCAAAACAATGAAAGGGGAGGGAAAGACAAGGGAAGAAATGCAGAAGAAGGTAAATTGATTACTGTAAATTAGGGAGATTAGGATTCTGAATGAGAGAATTTATTAATTTATAAAGGAGCTGTCAAAGGCTCGTGTTGTATAATGCCATTAAAGAATGATATTTTGATATAGTGCGACTGTCTCTATTAGACCGACCCTTCTAATAATCCGACCCTCTAGAGGAAGGTTGAAAAATAAAACGACCGGTCGCACTATTAGAAGAAATACGGTAGTTCAGTCAAAGTAGAGGAATTATTATCGAAGTATCTGATATATCAGAGGTACAAAAGCGGAGTCGACATTATTAGGCTCAGGAATAGAGTTGGATCTTGATGTCATTCAGTTCGGATATTAGTTCCGGATCGTCGGTGATTCCCTAGCTCCTCCAACCCCATTCATGATTTAAGATAAGGCAAAAAAATAATTATTAGTCGATTAGGCAATACCTAGATGAATATTCCGTGAATTAATAATTAAAATTAGAGATCGACCTAAATGAGATTTGGAGAAAAATATCGGTTATCGGCACCTATATTTCTCGAGATATCGTCCCTGTCTCTACGACACTTCCAGTTCGATCTCTAATTAATACTCGATCATAAATTCTTAAACTTCAAGGTTATGGAATGGTTCAACAAATTGGAAGGGGAACCAAAAACGAAAGCATTAGAATTAATGCAGACTGGATGTCGAGAACTTTTAAAAATAATACTTGGGGAGGACAAAGCTATTGAAGTTAAAAACATGAAAGAAGCTGGAACTGATGTAAATTTAATAAGTAATAAAATAAATGAATGGATTAATGAATTGAGTGAATCTAGCCATTTACGAAAATTGGCAGAAGAATACAAACCTGTTTGTAGACAACTTTTTGGGGTTGGAGAAAAATCTGCGAGCAGAAAGAGGCGTTCCTGGAAGGATATTTATGGGAAGAAGTTAAATAATAGAAGAAACGACGATGAAGAGGAGGGAGAGGATGGAGGATACTCAAACCCGAGAGTGTCTAATATTGAAGATAATGAAGAACAAACACAGACGGATATTGGGTTAGTTTTTTGGAATTCTATGAATATTTTTCCTTTTTTGACTGTGATTTCTTAACTTAAAAAGGTATCTAAAAACGAAATCAGCCAATAAGATACCTTAACTCGCGTAAAGTTTCTAATAGAATATTGAGTCACTTTCAAAAGGGGTATTCTATTAGTGAAGGCATTATAGTGGTTGGGGAGGGGGTTAATATATTTTAATTGTACTGATATTAATATTAAGGTTGTCGTATCGGATATCCGGATCCGAAAAAGGCCGGATATCAGGAAATTTTCGCTTCGGATATCGAATCCTTTCCAACTATCCGACAACCTTACTGGGTATAGCTCGCTAGCTGGCCATAGGGCTGTGTTACAGTTAGTCGGAACCAATATTTTAAAATAGGATAGAGTCACACCCATAAAACGGCCGATATCAGCACTGTTGATAGCTTAAGGATTCTAACAGGATATATGATTTTAGTTTTGCTCATTTAAAAACTAAAAAATAATTTAAAGAGATGACGGTGAAGACCACGATTTTGGAGACGAACACTTAAATGCACACAAAAAATGGCTCACTTCTAGTCAGAAGCGTCATATAAAAAGAATGAAAGATAAAGGGCATGAGGACCACGAGATACATGATAAAATAAATGAATTTCATGAGACTTCGCCTGAGGAAGTTAAGGTGAGAACCTATGTTTTTTATTAGAGAGATTTATACCAGATAGGCATACCAAGGTGTGCGTCTTAAATATCGAAATGAGAAAACACTTTCTTTTACGAAACACGAAATGAAAAATAAACGAAACGAAATTTTAAACAAAACACGAAACAAACTTAAAACGAAATTTCGAAAGAAACACGAAACAAACACAAAACGAAATTTCGAATTCGAAACACGAAACAAACACAAAACGAAATTTCGAATTCGCAAATAAATTTCGTAAATTATTTTTCAGAGAACAGCACAAGGCATTCTCAAAAGAGGGTGCGAGTCTGTATTTCAACGCTTATTCGGAGAATATATTGCGGATGAAATTATCCAAGCACGTGAACAGGGAGCTTCTACGGCCGAACTTGACGAGAAAATAAATACAGCTTTAGGGCATATTAAAAATGCAAAGAAGAGGAGAGAGGCGACTCGTTTTGCAGCTACATGCCGTCGAATATTTACTATGGTGGGGCTTAATTAATTTTTGCTTTAAAACACCCAAAAATTTGTTTAGATTGAACGACGTCGCAGAGCTGTTACCCCAATCGAAGAAAGAACTCTGGAGGAACTTTTCTCTTCCCATTTAAGTTGGCTAACTGAAGCACAGCAAGAGGAATTGAGGAGGATTAGGGATGAAGGCTTAGGGCGAACTGAAATGCAAGAACGTGTAGTCGAGTGGTTGGGGGAGCTGTTAGGAAATGAACGGGCAAACGCTATGAAGCAGTTAAGAGAAGGGTGAGATTCTGATTTTTAAAATTCTGATTTTAATTTTGATCTCTCTAGAATTCTGAGCATTACATAATTCTGATCTCTAAAATTCTGATCTTTACAAAATTCTGATTTCTAAAATTCTGATTTTTAAAATTCTGATCTCTAAAATTCTGATCTCTAAAATTCTGATCTCTAAAATTCTGATCTCTAAAATTCTGATCTCTAAAATTCTGATCTCTAAAATTCTGATCTCTAAAATTCTGATCTCTAAAATTCTGATCTCTCTAAAATTCTGATCTTTACAAAATTCTGATTTCTAAAATTCTGATTTTTAAAATTCTGATCTCTAAAATTCTGATCTCTAAAATTCTGATCTCTAAAATTCTGATCTCTAAAATTCTGATCTCTAAAATTCTGATCTCTAAAATTCTCATTTCTCTAATTCTGATTTTTTAAAACTCTGATTTTTTAAGTTCTGATCTTCCTAGAATTCTGATAAATTATTATTTTAAATTCTGATTTATGTTTTATTAATTCTGGATCAATGCAAATAATAAATGTCAGAATTAACAATTCAATATTTATTCTGATTCAAATTTTATCATTATATTAAGCTAAATTCTGTTTTTCACCTTAATTCTGATTTTCAAGTTTATTTTTTAACTCGATTTATTCTCCAGCTGCACTCTTCTCCTCTTCCAAGTTTATGGAAACGATAAGGCCAACGACCTAATACAGCTGAAAAATCAAGGCGCTCCAAAACACGAAATAGCCTTACGCCTAGTTGACGAAGAACAGAAGCAATCTAAAGCTTTTGGGCCTGTTTGCAGACACTTCTTTATTGAGGGGAATTATTAAAAATTAATCAGCTTTTAGTAAAAGCATTTCTAAATTAAATATTGATTTCAATTTATTTTTAAAATTAAATTTTTATTTTTTTTTAAATATTTTTACCACACTTTTCATTTTTATTTATGACTTTATAAAATTTTTGGATATGAAAGGATCGGGATTTTGGCATTTCGAGATACTAATGGGTTAATTAGAATTTTTTTCTCTTTATAGGAAAAATTAAATGATTAAGCCAAATAGTTTAAAGCTCCCGAACAACAAAATAGCAACTGTTTAGATGGGACTTGATTCGAAGTCTCTCCGATGCATGGCTATTTACTCACACATCCCTCCACTTACTCTTCGTTGCTAGGCTAGGGGGATAAATACATCAACGTTACAATATTTAAAATTCAATCTTAGTGGGGGTGTTTGCTAGGTCAATTATACACGCGAGTCTGGAGTGATATCTAAAACACGTGACTACGATTTTTATTTTCTTGCATAAAATCAAGACGTTGTCCTTAAAAATGAAATTCATGACCAGTGATACTTCGAAAACTCGGAATTTCGAAAAATCTCTCCACTCTTTTAATTAAAAACTTATCATATCTCTATTTTAGACGTTTAAATCCCGATCCTTTTATATTTTCTAAATAAAATCTGATGGTTGGTAAGTTACCGCTTAAATAATGCCTTAAAAAATACCACATTCCTGAATTGCTCAAATTGTGTTAAAAAATATTTTTTTAATTGAATAAATTTATTTTTAGCATAATTTTAATTTTAAAATATTTTTTGTTAACAAAATAAGAAAACAAATAACGTCGGATTTAATATATTAATAGTTAGAAACAGTGAAACTTGGACAAGACACGCATCGATAATTCGAAAATTTGACCAGAGCTTAATGAACTTAATTTTGTCTACAAGCGAAAAAAAATTTCGGAAAAAAATCCGCAATTTCGGACATCTCTGCTCGCTAGGAAATGGAGATTTGACGGAGCTACCCCGATTTTTTCTTAGTTATGATCAGCCATTTTACAGAGTTGTTTGATTTTCCTCGAATTAAAGCAAGAATCAAATCGGCGATTGGAAATTGAATTGAATGTCAAAGATGAAGACTTTTTTAGAGTTACCATATTTAATAGGCACTGGGAGTATGAGAAAAGTACGAGTTTAGCCCCAGGTAGACATCGATGCTGCTATCTACTGGCGTTATTGCTAGGCGTTTTGGCCACGTACTCGCCACGCACCAGAGATAAATCGGAACTGACGAAGGTGCCGGAAATTATAGCTGTCGGAAATCGGAAATGGCTCAAAAGTCGGAACTCTGAAATCGGAAATAAACGTGAAAATTCGGAAATTGGAAATCGAATTTCATTGACTGCCGCATTTCGTCTTTTATTTTTTTACTTTCGCCTTTTCCATTATGTCTTTCACTTTAACGAAAATACGAAGGTCTATTTTTCAGTTCAATTTGTTTAAAGTAAAATCAGTTTCGGTACAACTTTGGTAAACATCTAGAAGAATAATTAAAACAAATAATTTAAGAAGATAAGAAAGAAAGGACAAAATTTAATTTAAACAACATTTTAACATTTAAGACTATTCTTCTGATAAGCCTCAAAAATATAAACAAAAATGAAACAATTGGGCGCGGGCTGTGGACAAAAATTGTCCATAGATTTTAATATATAAGAACGCCGTTGAAAATTTTTTTTAAAATTTTTTTTGACTTATTTTAAATTAAAATTTTAACCCTAAATTTTATCAAAATGTTTATAAATTATCTTTTTTGTTTGTTAATATTTTTAAATTTGATTGGAATATTGCTTTGTTCAAATGACTTGAACAGGTAAAAAAATAAATTTAATAGTTAAATTTCGTAAGATTCTAACAGACTAGCATTTAAAAATAAAACCGGAACCGATGAAATTTTCTTAAAAATATTTATCGAAAGAATACCGACCGACCCCTCCGACCGAGCTCTAATTAAAACTATTAGAAATAAAATTTTGTAGAGAAGCAAGTAAGATGAAGAATAGGGAGGGGGTAGTTTCATACAAATTTTCCGGACCGGGTACAATCCTTTTAAGATTTTAAAAAGAAAGTAAGTCATTGACTTTAGGATTCATAGATCGAATTAAGGTTATTCCTACAGGTTTTTAAATTGCCTTCGGATCGGATTTCGTGTCAAAAAATGCTAGGAGGGTCGGATAACTTCCCTGGGTAGGTAAACAAGCCGTCACTGCTTTGTAACAATGATAGTAGACCTCCGAGGGAAGCGTCTCTATTTATAAATCCCAAACTCCAATCCATTTGATTTAAGATAAAGATTTTTCAGACCCCGTATTTAAACCATTTTTATAAAGCTATGGACAAGAAGCAGAATTAAAAGATACCGGAAGCTCAGTATCTGGAATTAATCAACAACTTTCAAGAACACGAAGATACATTAATGAAGACGAATATAAAAAAGAAAAGATGAGAGAAAGTTTGTACAAAATTTTAGAAATAAATTCTGGTTGGTTAACTGAAGAGCAGAAGGGAGAATTAAGAAAGGATTTGAAAAATGGAAAATCATTGGATGGAGAAATATATGAGAAAGTTTTTCAATGGTTTAGTAGATTGAAATTGACATTATCTGAATGGTCTGAAGCAAAGGATACTGCTTCATCTAGTTGCTATATTTTTTCGTGGAAGGTAAAAGAGAATCATTGCCGTATTAAAAGGGTTAAAAATCTGGGAAATAAAAATTTCGTTTTCGGGAAATAGAAATTTTCGGAAATTTTGGAAATTGGAAATTGGAAAAATTTCGGAAATCGGAATCTGACCGACCTATGATACTAAGCAACGAGGGCACCAACCCTGATTATTTGTGTAATTTCAGAAAAATTACACAAATAATCATAATCAGCTCTTAAATTTTCTTTTTAAGAGCGTATATGAGTTGATCCAAAGTGTAGATATACTCCTATTGAAAGTGGAATTAATTTATGGCGATGAAAAATGCAATAATCTCGAAAGTGACCTTAATAAGTTAACAGCAATCGTTGATGATAAAAAAGAAAGAAACGATATTGTTCAAAAATATTGTGATTTAATAAAAAATAATACAAAAATAAGAGATAAGAGAGAAAGTAAAGAAAATACAACTAGTGAAAATAAGATAGAAAATTATTTCAAAATACTAAACTTGGATTGGTTGGATGAAAAGCAGCGTGAACATCTTAAAAATATGTCCTCTGAAGCAAATCGAGCAGCAATGCGATATAAGGTAATCAGACAATATTTGTAAAATTATTAGTTTCGTTAACATGAAAGGTGTCGGGGCTTAAAATGGTCAAGCATTCATGTTTAATAAACTATAGTATGGCTTGTTCCAAAACTGATTTTGAAACATGAATGATAAAAACGCGGTCGAAAATGAAAATTTAATTTAAAAATCGAAAGACGAAAGGCAATGCCGATTACCCGAAATCGGGAATTTTGCTTTTTATCGGTAGGATCCCTAGCACCCTAGGTCCCTAGGTAGGATCCCTATCACATACATGTCTAAATGAAAAAATCGAACGGCCTAACTTTAGTAAGAGCAAGGTAAAAGTTTAATCCCGGGCAGGCTTCGATACTATGACCTACTGGCAGTTATTGCTAGTCGCTTTCGCTCACCACGTACAGGTGCTCTACCGACTGAGCCGGGACGCTGCTTTTACCTTCTCTTTAATAGACCTTAAATCCCCGCCTAGTGAGCGTTTTAAATGCTAGCCAAACAATAATGGACAAGGTTCCATGCACTAAAATTAAAAATTATTTAAGGTAGTAAAATGGTTTAATCATTTACAAGCTGAGGCAAAAGAGAGAGCCACTGATCTTTTCAAGGCCGGATGTAACAAACTTCTAAAAATAAGTCAAGAGGGATGTGATTATTTTGGCTCATTAGACTCGCAAAAAATCGACGAGCTTAAAGAGTACATGGACTGGACAACGTATAACAAAATAAAAGAATTAATTGCTCCATTGCAAGAAAAAGTGGAACTCAGAAATATTGCTCATGATTATAATCAAACTTGTAGAGAACTTTTTGGCATTGGAGAGGAGGAGGAAAGTGAAGAGAAGGAAGGTGGAAGACAAAGGCGATCTTATGACAGAAGAGACTCGAGGGCTGAACAAGAAAGTGGAGAAGGAAGTGAGGAAGAGGTTGACAATCGTGATTATAACTCGAAGGTGCTTAATGTTGAAGCAAACAATAATGAACAAAGTGGAAGAGAGTTAGTTTCTATAAAATTATAAAATAGGGTGTTATCGAAACCTGACCGAGAAGGATTAGGTCAATTTTTTATCGAAGAAAATTTAAATTTGAATTCCTGCTCCTGGCAGGCATCTCTCAAGCAATCTCATCTCATCTCTCAACTCCTTGCAGGGGAATTGTTCAAAATTATAATATCGAAAACTAATAGCATTTTTGTGATAAAAATCGGGTATTTAATAATTAGCCCAAGAGAGCTATTTAAAAACGAGTTATGCCTATGTTTCAATCCTCTCGACATTATCAACCAGTGCTGGGTATATATCCGGGAAGTATCTCCAAAGATGAACCCGTTCGGATATGGAACCGAGATTTTGAAATGCCCAATGTTAAAGTAAATCACTTCAAACCCTCGTATTTGCTGCCGGAACTAAAATTTCGAAAAACGTCGGCGCCTGGTAATAAAGCAATATTAAACACCCAATTTTTATCAACTTAAGGGCTAATAGAATATATTCCTTATTTAAATAATTTTAAAAAATAATTTGAAGAGATGATGGGGAAGAACACGATTTTGGAGATGAACACTTAAATGCACACAACTCATGGCTTAATTCTGACCAGAATCGTCATATAAAAAGAATGAAACAAAAAGGGCATGAAGACCACGAGATACACGAAAAAATAAATGAATTTCATGAGACTTCGCCCGAGGAAATTAAGGTGAGATTAAATTATTTTTTGATTCAAGAGATCAGAAAATCAAAAACGAGATCATCTTAAGTGAGCGAAATGAGTAAAAATTTTATTTTACGAAACAGAAACGAAAAATAAAACAAAATAAAGCGAAATTTCGAACAATACACGAAATAACGAAAAATGTTCAAAACGAAATTTCGAATAAGATCCAAAAAGAAAAGTAAAACGAAATTTCGAGCAAAGCATGAAACAGTGATGGGTATTTGTCTTTTATTAGCTCCTGGCTTTAAACGAAACGAAAAATATACGAAACGAAATTTCAAACAAACACGAAACAAACACAAAACGAAATTTCGAATTCGCAAATTAATTTCGTAAAATTATAAAATTATTCTTCAGGTAACTGCAAAAGGAATTCTCAAAAGAGGATGTGAGTCTGTATTTAAACGCTTATTCGGAGAATATATTGCCGAGGAAATTATCCAAGCACGTGAACAGGGAGCTTCTACTGCCGAACTTGACGAGAAAATAAACACAGCTTTAGGGCATATTAAAAATGCGAAGAAGAGGAAAGAGGCGACTCGATTCGCTGCTACATGCCGTCGAATATTTACTATGGTCCTTTTATTTAATTTTTAAGTTAAACCCCGTAAAAATTTTTTAGATTGAGCGACGTCGCAGAGATGTATTATCCACCACAAATGAAGACTTGAGACTATAATTAATGCCTTTAAACAGAAATACCACACCCTGAATTGCTCAAATTGTGTTACAAAAATAATTTTTTGATTGAATAAATTTATTCTTTAACAATTTTTTACTTATTTTAATCTTAAAAACTAATAATTAAAGACCGGAATGGGAGGGTCGTACGAAAATCGAGATCCATAACTCAGTTAGGTGATCTAATAGGAGTTAAAAAGATTGAGGGGATTTTAAGTGATATCAGAGGATTAAGGATATAATGGGATTTAGAGGGATTGAAGGGATTTGAAGGAAAATTGGGGATTTGACCGATAACGTGGGATTTAAGTGTTATTGGGGATTAATTAACAAATCACTTAATAAAAGTATATATTAGTACTAGTTTCGCCTTTCGTCCATTTTTACTTTGTTTCATAAAATGGATTTGAATTTGCCTTTCGATTTTTAAATTATCGTATTTTCGCCTTTTCCATTTCGTCTTTCGCTTTTTCTAATCAGTTTCGACATGGCACACCCCGGTTGTATATGCAGAAAAATATGTAAAATAAATGATTAAAATAAACATTTAAGCAAATAAATAAAAAAAGATCAAAATTTGATTCTAGCAACATTTTAACATTAAATGCTGATAAGCCTTATAAATATAACATTAAATAGGCTACATTTGGGCGCATGCTGTGGACAAAGTTGTCCATAGAATTTAGTATAAAATAGAAAGCAGTTGATAATTTTTTTGCAATTTTTTATTCATTTTATAAATTAATTTTTAACCAAAAAATGTTATCAAAATGTTTGTAAATTATCATTTTTGTTTGTTAATATTTTTAAATTTAATTGGAATATTGCTTTCTTCGAGGGAATTTAACAGGTAGAAAAAATCTTGAAAATTTAAATTTTGTAAGATTCCAAGTGGCTAGCGTTTAAAATGGATAGGATTAGGATTGTTTCAAGATCCAGGTCGGAGTCAGCGATAGGGGAGGAGTTGTAAAATTTATGGCTCTGTCCAGTTTAAACGACCAATCGCGCCTATCAGACTGTAGGTTTTAACAGAGAGCCGGGTACTTAAAAATGTGTTTGGATGTATAAACTTTTTATTGAACGTATAAAGGTTGATTGGGTCTTTAACTGGACAACAGCCAATTTTTTCGGATTGAGTAAAACCATTTTAAGACAGAAAAGAAATGTAGTGGGTAGGTTTGAGAGAAATGTTAGACCGGGCTTTCGGGTTTCTTCGAATCGAAGTTCGAGGAGTTCGGGTAACCTGACCCGACCTATCCCTGCTTTGTAAATATGAGTAGACCATATGAACGCAATGAAGGTAGCCTCCCAATTTATAACTGTTAATACTCCCTACACTTGAGTTAAGAACTCATAAAGGTGTGCGCATTAGATCGATGATTAAAATCATTTTTATTTAGCGATGGACATGGAACAGAGTTACAAGATACCGGAAATTCTCTAATTGGAATTAATCAACAACTTTCAAGAAAGCGAAGATATAGCAGTATTAATGGAGAAAATGCAGGCGAAATTAAAAAACGAAAAATGGGGGAAAGTTTAGAAACAATTTTTGAAATACATTCAATTTGGTTAACTGAAAGGCAGAAGGAAGAATTAAGGGAAGATTTGAAAAATGGAAAATCATTGGATGGGGAAATATATGAAAAAGTTTCTCGATGGTTTAGTAGATGGGGGTTTACTGAATGGTCTTATGAAATGTTTCGCGTTTCTTTAAGATGTATTAGTTTTTTTCGAGAGGTGAATGAGATATTATGGTTAAATTACAAACGTTAAATTACAACCGTATGTAGCAGGGGTGTGCGAGTTTCGCCTTTCGCTTATTAAAATCATTTTCGGCACACCCCTGGTATGTAGGAAGTAAAAGGGGGTTGCCTAAAATTTTATGCTGTCTACGAGGGTTGTCCAAAGTTTTATGAGCACAAGAATAACATTTATCCAAGTGACAAAGTAGGCACATTTAGGAATGGACTCGTACAGACGAAGGAGATCAGGGACTTTTCGGGGTGGTATGATCCAACTAGGCTACCACTGAAACTGGCTTATATACCGTATCTGAATAATTGACTCAGACACGGCATCAGAAATACTATAGGCCGTCTGATACCATCTAGGGAAGGCTCGATTGAGGGTATCAGGTTTAGGATAACCTTGCTCGTTCTTTATACAAATGCCTTAAAAAAATTTAACAAATAGCCGGGTCAACTAATATTCATAATTTAAGGGAAAAAGAGACCTTTATCAAGCTGCTGACATTCTCACAATAAGAGTAGCCTTACTCATCGATGACGAATGTAATAATTTCAAAAGTGACCTTTACAAACTAGCAGCAATCGAGGATTATAAAATAGGAAGAAACAATATTGTTATAAAATATTGTGAATTAACAAAAAATACCACAAAAATAAGAAATAAGCGAGAGAGTGAAACTAATACTAGGACCGAAAATAAACTACAAAATTATTTCAAAATACTAAACTTGAATTGGTTGGATGATAAGCAGCGTGAACATCTTAAAAATATGTCTTCTGGGAGAGAACTTGAAGAAATGCGAGATACAGTATACTTGAAAGATACGGTATATTAACAGTGAAGTGTTAGGGCTCAAAATGGTCAATATTTATGGCCTAACTGTGAAAATGGGGTTAGTGCATAGGTGTATCAAAGCCGATTTTAAACTTGAAAACTAATGTTGAAACGGATACACCACTGGTTTAGCACACCACTGGACCTGTCTTGACCATTCTGAGCCCTGACAACACAAACTAGAAAATGCTAAAATACAAAATAAAAATAATAGCCTGATTAACAAGTAAAATTAAAAGATATTTAAAGGTAATAAGCTGGTTTAATTATTTACGACACGATACTAAAGCAAGGGCTGCCGATCTTTTCAAAGGTGGATGTAATAAACTTTTAAAAATAAGACAGGAGGGATGTGGATATTTTGGCTCATTAGACACACAAAAAATAAACGAGCTCAAAAACTACGATGACTTGACAACGTATAACAAAATAAATGAATTAATTAATCCGTTAATAGAAAAAGTGGAACTCAGAAAAATTGCCAATGATTATAAACAGACGTGTAAGGAACTTTTTGGTATTGGAGAGGAAGAAGAAGAACGGTGGGAAGGAGGAAGACATAGAAGAAATCCTAAGAAACGAAGCAAAAATAATCGAAGAAATCCGAGGATTGGAAGGGAAGAAGATGAAGATGAAGAATTATTCGAGCTGTATGGATTTTAGCTATCCAAATCTCGATTCGTTTACACTTTTTAATATCTGATGTTTGGCAATTTAATTTTTTTTGAAACATTTTCTTACCAAAAATCCGAATTTACTCTAATTATCACAATTAATGCCTTATAACAGAACCACTACATTATTGAATTGCTCAAATTGTGTTACAAAAATAATTTTTTGATTGAATAAATTTATTTCTTTAATAATTTTTTCCATATTTTAATTTTAAAAATTATGTAATAATTAGAGACCGGAAAGAGTGGGTCATATGAGAATCGAAAAAAAATATTTAAATGATTAAAATAAAAAATTTAAGCAAATAAATAAAAAAGAAAAATCAAAATTTGATTCTAGCAACATTTTAACATTTATTATATGCTGATAAGCCTTCCAAATATAACATTAAGACTACACCTGGGCGCATGCTGTGGACAAAGTTGTCCACAACTTTTAGTATAAAATAGAAGGCAGTTGATAATTTTTTTGCAATTTTTATTCATTTTATAAATTAATTTTTAACCAAATAATGTTATCAAAATGTTTGTAAATTATCATTTTTGTTTGCTAATATTTTTTAATTTAATTGGAATATTGCTTTCTTCGAATGACTTGAACAGGTAGAAAATAACTTGAAATACAAATTTTTCTATGATTTCATCTAACTAGCAGTTAAGACGATTAGGAGAGTAGAGCGCTCTAACCTCGACCGAGAAAATAGCTAAGGATGGGATAGGAGTTGATACTAGAGTTCTCCGTTGCGGTGATAACCGCTCAGCCATCCCTCCACCGACTGACCGTTTTATTTTTAATTGATAGGATGCTAGGAAACCTTGCCTGACTTAAAGGAATAATATGCCAAACTACGATACACTTGACTTAGGATACAAAATTTTCAGTCGATATTAAAATCTTATAAATTTGAATTTTGTAAGATTCCAATTGGATAGCAGTTTAAATAATTAGGAGTCACAAACCCAATCCCAAAAAATAGAGTAGAGCGACATACCCTCGTGAGGGCTGAGGGGGGGGGTGATGAGGGCTCAATGATCATGAGGAATCAACCATCCCTTCATTAAAGTAAAGCAGCTGGCTATAGCTGTTTCCCCTTTAGCTAGTACAAAAGGTTAATCGGCGGCTGGGAGCGAACCAGCATCTTCAGTAGACCGGACTGATGTGTTAGCCATTACACCACGCCGCCTACTGCACAGCCATAGGAATTAAATGGCTATATGCTTTACATTGACTGATCGTTTTTATTTAGCGATGGACAAGGAACTGAATTAAAAGAAACCAAAACCTATTTAATTGGAATCAATCAACAACTTTCAAGAAAGCGAAGATATAGCAGTATTAATGGAGAAAATGAAGACGAATTTAAAAAACGAAAAATGAGAGAAAGTTTGTACGAAATTTTGGAAATAAATTCAATTTGGTTAACTGAAGAACAAAAGGAAGAATTAAGAGAAGATTTGAAAAATGGAAAATCATTGGATGGGGAAATATTTGAGAAGCTTTTTCTATGGTTTAGTAGATTGAAATTGACATTAACTGAATGGTCTGAAGCAAAGAATTCTGTTTCATTTAGATGCTATCTCTTTCGGTTGAAGGTAAAAGAGAATCATGGGTTAAAGGGTTACACATAGATGGGTTATCCTTATAGGGAATAACCATATGAAAGTAATGTATATCGATAGTATTAATTTCAACTAAATTGAGCAGTCATGAACAGAGCTGTTTCTGAATAAAAATTCGAAAAATCGGAAAAGGGAACTTCATCCTGTTCAATCCAATCTATAATAATAAGCCAGTAACCTCTTCCTTTTTAGCGCCGCAGGCGAAAATTTTGGGACTTTTAGTGATTAGGAGGATCCCTCATTTTTATCATTTTGTTTATAAAATCCCAAAAATTTTTAAAATTTTACAAAATGGTAAAAATATGGCAAAATATGAAAATGTAGGTACAATAGGGCGAAAAGTTTAAAAATAGAGCAACTGCCCTATAAATAGGGTAAAAGGACAACCCTGCAGAAAATAGTGGGTGGGTCTGATTTAATTATTATACGAACCATTCCTAAGCGAACGTTTTATTTAGCCTAAAAAATTGAAATTTCGTTCGCCTGTTACCAAGTTTGAAATATTTAAATCGAGAATTCAAGGAAAAACGTCGGAAATCGTCGACCTCTATTTTCTCACCGATTTTGATTTAAACGGCCTCTAATTATTCTTTAGAAAAATTACACAAATAATCAGAGTCAGCTCCGTAAATTTTTCATTTAAAGGACGCAAGAGATCTTCTACAAAGTGTAATTATACTCCAAATGAGAGCAGAATTACTCTATATAGCAGAATGCAATAATTTCGAAAGTGACCTTCATATACTAACGGGAATTGTTGATGAAAAAATGAAAAGAAACGATATTGTTAAAAAATATTGTGATTTAACAAAAAATTATACGAAAATAAGAGATAAGAGAGAAAGTAAAGGACTTACAAGGAGTGAAAATAAGCTTGAACATTATTTTAAAATACTAAACTTGGATTGGTTAAATGATCAGCAACGAGAATATCTCAAAAATATGCCGTCTAAAGGAATACGTGAAGCATTGCGAGATGCGGTAATTTGAAAATATAATGTAAAATTATCGCTTTAGCTAACAGTAAACATGTCAGGGCACAAATGGTCAAATATCTATGTTATATAATAGAGACGTCCGAGACCGAAAATTTTCCAAGACTCAAGACCAAAACTAGTCCCCAAGACCAAGACTTGACCCCAAGACTCAAGACCAAACATTAACAATACTCAAGACTATTTTTTGGTCCTATAGGGCAAATTTTTGGTTAATTTTTCGTGCCCTTAGACATGAGTGCATATAAATTCGAAAACTTTATATGAAATATAATCAAAATTCGGAAATATGCCGGGATTTTAGCACCTAAACCGCCGAAATACCGATTTTAGTGCCGCAGACACTAATTTTAGAAATTTGGAAGATAATTAAGCCAAAAATCTTCCTTTTCTGCGCCGCAGGCGAAAATTTTGACCCAAGAAAAGTCTTGGAATCAAGAATCAATACCAAGAGTCTCGGACGTCTCTATTATATAAGATTATACGAAAATATATTACGGTGTTAATTTAAAAATCGAAAGATGAAAATCGAAAGATGATAGTACTATTTGACCATCCTTAACCCTGAGCATCTTACTGAAACAAAATAAAGTATCGTACATGATAAATCAAAAAATCGAACGGAAAACTATAATTAAAAGTTATTTAAGGTAGTAAACTGGTTTAATCATTTACATCCTGCTGCAAAAGAGCTAGCCACAGATCTTTTCAAAGGTGGATGTAATAAACTTTTAAGAATAAGACAGGAGGGATGTGGTTATTTTGGGCTGTTAGACACACAAAAAATAAACGAGCTCAAAAACTACGATGACTTGACAACTTATAACGAAATTAATGAATTAATAAATCCTCTAAGAGAAAAATTGGAACTCAGAAAAATTGCTAATGATTATAATCAGACTTGCAGAGAACTTTTTGGTATTGGAGAGGAGGTGGAAACTGAAGAGAAGAGAGGAGTTGGGTTAAGAGGTACAAGAACCTCAGGAAGGAAACGAAGATACCTTAATAACAATGATGACGAATACAAAAAAAGAAAAATTGGAGAAAGTTTGGAAGCAATTTTTAAGATACATTCAAGTTGGTTAACTAAAGAACAGAAGGAAGAATTAAGAGAGGATTTAAAAAATGGAAAATCATTGGATGGGGAAATATATGAGAAGGTTTTTATGTGGTATAGACGATTGGGATTAAGTGATTGGTCATATGAAATGCTTGATTTTTCTTCAGGATGTGTTGCTCTTTCATCTGAGGTAAATTAGTCCATATTATGTTGAGCAAAATCGCGATCCAAATCGGGATCGGGCGGGATATCCCGGTTTTTTTGAATCACGATCCCGATTTTTCTGATCCCGAAACCAAAATATAAATCCCGATTTCTACCAATCCCGATCCAGAGACCGAATCGGGAATGAGATTTGCATCAAATCCCGACGCAAATCCCAATTTTATATAAATGCGAAAATATTAGAAACAAAATACCAAAGTGAACGAAAGAAAGTCCTAAATTGAGCCCCTTCAAATTTTGAAAAATTTTCGCTGCGGCGCAAAAAATGGTAGATTTTGGCTTAAGGATCTTCCAAAATTTTCAAAATTCTCTCCTGCGGCGCGAAATTTTTTTCCCTAAATACTGATCCTGATTTCTCAATCCCGATACAGAGTCGGGATCGGGACCAGAATAATTATTCCGAATCCCGATCCCAATTTTATGTCAGGATTCCGATCCCGCTCAACACTAGTCCACATAGTAACCGATACAGGAATCAAATAACACATAAGTCAGTAAACAAGGCCCATCCCATATACCTACTCACCCAGAATAATTAAAATAATCTGAGTCAACTTCATTAAAAGTTTATAATTTAAGAGCTTAAGAAACACAAAACAAGCAGCGGAAATAACCATGATTGAAATATCTTTAAGCCTTATCGAATGCAATAATTTAAGCGGTGACATTAAAAAACTAGAAGCAATTGTTGATGAAAAATCGAAGAGATTCGATATTGTTACAAAATATTGTGATTTTAGAAAGAATAATACGAAAATAAGAGCTAAGAGAGAGAGTAGAGGACATAAAAGTAGCGAAAATAAACTATCAAAATATTTCAAAATACTAAATTTGGACTGGTTGGATGATAAACAACGTGAACATCTTAAAGATATCAAAGGTGTAAGAACAAGTGAAGAAAGGCGAGATACGGTAAATTGAAAATATTTGTAAAATTATCAATTTTGTTAACATTAAAGTGGTTAGGGCTTAAAATGTTCAAATATTTATTTTTAAGAATGGCCGTTCAACTAAGCTTAATAGTACAGGGTAGTGATGCTCGGGAGAAGGAAAAACCCTGGAAACGTGAGTCGGGTCGGGAAAAGGCCTTGAAGGTCGTGATCGGGAGGCCAAAAACACGAGAAATTTTCTCGAGTAGGGAGTCGGGATACCCGAGCATCACAGTACATGGGATATTAAAAACCTGGTACGAGTACGAGTACGAATTTTGGTACGAGCTTCGAAGCACTGACCCTGACCAATTTTTTTGAAAATAAAATAGGTATAAGATAATAGACGGAACTTGAAAATCTTGAAATGAACTGAAAAAGATTTTTTATTTAAAGGTAATAAACTGGTTTAATCATTTACGACACGATACTAAAGCAAGGGCTGCCGATCTTTTCAAAGGTGGATGTAATAAACTTTTAAAAATAAGACAGGAAGGATGTGGATATTTTGGCTCATTAGACACTCAAAAAATAAACGAGCTCAAAAACTACGATGACTTGACAACGTATAACAAAATTAATGAATTAATAAATCCTCTAAGAGAAAAATTGGAACTTAGAGAAATAGCTACCGATTATAATCAGACTTGTAAGGAACTCTTTGGTATTGGAGAGGAGGAAGAATGGAGGGGAGGTAGAAGGAAAAGACGTTCTCATAACAAGAGAAGTAACTTGAGAGTTGAACGTGAAACAGAAGATTTAGTACAAGAGGTCGACGATGATTATATCTTGAGTGTGATTGATGGCGAAGTAACCATTAATAAACGAATTCAACGGCCGTTAGTTTCATTAATTTAAAATACTAATCCAAGGCTCATTATATCACAACTACAAATCTTTTATAAATTAAGGGATATAACGGATACACCCCAACGTATCGCGAGACCCCCCCCCCCCCACACACGTATGCGAGCTATAACCTCTCATAATTATCAAATCCGGGGATATATATATTATCAATCCGGGGACAAATCCCTGGTATGTTTCGATTCAGCCAGGGCCAGTGGCATCCGAGATTCGATAATCTCGAATGAAGTTAGAGCTTAGCGGTACATTGGGCTAACGGTACGTTGGCTTAAAAATAACTCCCCTTACATTTTATTTAAAATATAAATTGGAACCCTTATTACAACCATTTAAATTTAGCGATGGACAAGGAGCAGAATTAAAAGACACCAGAACCTCATTAGAAGGAATTCCATCAAGAAAACGAAGACACCTCAGTAGTAATGAAGACGAATTTAAAAAACGAAAAATGAGGGAAAGTTTGGAAACAATTTTGGAAATACATTCATTTTGGTTAACTAATAGACAGGAGGAAGAATTAAGAGAGGATTTGAAAAATGGAAAATCATTGGATGGGGAAATATATGAAAAAGTTTATTTATGGCTTCTTAGCTTGGAATTAACTGAAATGAAAGAGGCAGCTTCTGATGTCTTTAAAAGATGTAATGGCTTTTCGTTAGAGGTAATCGAGGTTACGGTTTTACAAAGAGAAAATCACTTAACCAAAGGGGAAATCCTTTAACTGTATATTCAATTCAATGATACAGGAGCCAGTTCAGTTAGTTCAGTTCAGCTCAGGTATCGGCGTAGGAAACAGAACTCACTTGTAAGAGACTTGTAAAGTTGTTTGTAAAAAATTCACTCAAAAATATATTCATGCCTGCCATCATCACAAATGAGGGCAGGCCTGAGTCAACGTCGATACAAACTAGATATTAGAGGTCGGCGCGGGACGGGTCCCGACGGGATTTTCCGGGATCCCGCTCCCGAAATCCCGGATTTTTTTGATTTTCGGGATCATTCGGGATCCGGGATTTTTTTCGGGATTTATACCTCGGGATCCCGTCCCGGCCTCGGTTAAGAAAAAAAATCCCGACTCGGAATCCCGGAAGTGCGATTTTGCCGACCTCTACTAGATATGCGCGATCCAGTACTTGAAGAAGGATCTCAATTATTTAGATTTTTCGAGATATCGGCCTACAAGCTTTAGGAAATTTTACAAATAATCAAATGAGCCACTCTATTAAATTATAATTTAAGGAATTAAGAGACGCTAATCAACGTGCCGAAATACTCATAGTAGAATTAGACTTAAAATATTTTGTAGCAAGATGCAATAATTTTGAAGATAGCCTTGTTAAACTAGCAACAATTGTTGATGAAAAATGGAAAAGAAACGATATTGTTCGAAAATATTGTAATTTAACAAATACTAATACAAAAATAAGAAATAAGCGAGAGACTAGAGGGCTGTCCAGAAGTGATTATAATTATTTAAAATATTTTAAAATATTAAATTTGACTTGGCTGGATGATAATCAACGTAAATATTTGAGAGAAATGATGGCTGAAAGAAAAACGCGTGTGGAAATGCGAGATACGGTAGCTTTTAAATCATTGTGAATTTATCAATTTCGTTAATAGAGGTCAGGGCTCAAAATGGTCAAACATGAATGTTGTTATAAGAGTTGTGCAAACAGTACTAAAAACGAAAATTTTAATAAATCTTGCCAAAAATTAAACGTTTCTTGAAATTTAAAAACCAAAATAAAATACAAAATGAGTGATTTTTTAAACAATCCCCCAAAAATTAGAAGTTTCTTCTAAACCGAAAATGGGGTTTTAAAATTTGGATTAACCGAACATTGTGTGTAACGATTATTAATTTGGATGTAATTATTAATAATATTAATAATAATTATTAATTATTATAATTAATAATAATTATTAATTAACTATACCATCCTTAACAATTTGGATGGTATAGTACAAGTTGACCATTTTGTACCCTTACCAATTTTACTGAGAACATAATAAAAAAATTTGAAAATGTCAAAATGATAAACTTAAAATATATTTTTTATTTAAAGGTAGTAGAATGGTTTAATCATTTACAACCTGAGGCAAAAGAGAGAGCTGCCGATCTTTTCAAAGTTGGATGTAATAAACTTTTAAAAATAAGACAAGATGGGTGTGATTATTTTGGCTTGTTAGACTCACAAAAAATAAACGAGCTCAAAAACTACGATGATTCGACAACTTATGATAAAATAAAAGAATTAATTGCTCCATTGAAAGAAAAAGTGGAACTCAGAAATATTGCCAGGGATTATAATCAGACTTGTAGAGAACTTTTTGGTATTGGAGAGGAGGAGGAAATTGAAGAGAGGGAAGGTGGAAGACAAAGGCGATCTTATAACAAAAGAAGAAATTCGAGGGCTGAACAAGAAACTGAAGAGGAAACTGAGGAAGAAGACAATCGTGAGTATAACTCTAGGGTGCTTAATGTTGAAGTAACCAATGATGAACAAAGTGGAAGAGAGTTGGTTTCTATAAAATTATAAAATAGGGCCTTATAGGCGATTTAAAATAAACCTATAAGATGTGTATGCATTGCCCCAGGAATTCTCCAGGCAGGGAACTTGTTCAAAATCATAATATCGAAAACTATCGGCATCTTTAACAACGAGTTCAAGCTCCTGACTTTAAAACCAGTACTGAGTATATATCCGGGAATTACTTACAAAGCTGGTCCCGTTAGGATATGGAACCGAGATTTTGAATGGCCAATGTCAAAGATAATCCCTTTAAAATCTCGGAATTTCGATGGAACCAAAATTATATCGCCCAAAAAAACCTCCAATTTTTATCAACTTAAAGACCTAATAGAATATATTAAAGTATTGCTCATTTAAATAATTTAAAAAATTATTTAAAGCGATGAAGGTGAAGAAGACCACGATTTTGGAGATGAACACTTAAATGCACACAGAACATGGCTCACTTCTAATCAGAAGCGATATTTGAAAAGAATGAGAGAAAAAGGGCATGAAAACCACGAAATACATGAAAAAATAAATGAATATCATGAGACTTCGCCTGATGAAGTTAAGGTGAGATTTTTCTATTCAAGAAATTTATATCAAAAAACGAACGAAAAATAAAACGAAATTTCGAATAAAACACGAAACAAGGATAAAACAAAATTTCTGTCTATAGACGAAAAAACATAAAATGAAATTTCAAACGAAACTCGAAAATCATATCACCTCAGATTTTACTGGAAGATATAAAATACATGACATATAGGGCTGGTTTCTGGAGTCAGTTCTCCCAGATTTCCCCCAAATTTTTTAATTTATCTTGTTATCCATTAAATTTACTCCTCAGAAAACAGCACAAGCCATCCTCAAAAGAGGATGTGAGTCTGTATTTCAACGCTTGTTCGGAGAATATATTGCTGACGAGATCATTCGTGCACGTGAACAGGGAGCTTCTACGGCCGAACTTGACGAGAAAATAAACACAGCTTTAGGGCATATTAAAAATGCGAAGAAGAGGAAAGAGGCGACTCGTTTCGCTGCTACGTGCCGTCGAATATTTACTATGGTGCCTTTAATATTTTGGCCTAAAAACTCCAAAAAACTTTTTTCAGATTGAACGACGTCGAAGAGGTGCAGTATCTACCCCAATTGAAGACTCGAGGCAATAATTTTATTTCAATCGTGACTGCTGGTTGAAAATTTCATTTTTTAAACAATTTCTCGCCAAAAATCCAAATCTAATCCAACTACCACATTCCTGACATTGCTCAAATTGTGTTAAAAAAATAATTTTTTGATTGAATAAATATATTCTTTAATAAATATGTATTTTAATTAATTAGTAGAGAGTATTTATTTAAATATTAAAAACCCGATAATAAGCACCTCTATAGATTTGAAAAGGCTAGAATATGTTCAAAAAATTTTGAAAACTGGCAAAATATGCAAATTATTTCAAAAAAATATATTTGAATTTTCAAAGTAAAAAAATTTTTAAGCATATTCACAGAATAAATCACAAAATATGCAAGAATCTCCCCCCTCTAGACTCACAATTACATACAATATACATCTCAGGATTTTCTTCGATAAAGTTGCTTCTATCTGTTAAGACTAGGTCAAAAATGATCCCGGTCAAATGTCAAAAATGATCCCGGTCAAATGTCAAAAATGATCCCGGTCAGATGTCAAAAATGATCCCGGTCAAAAATGACCGGGTCCCGGCTGGAAACCGGGAATTTTATAATTTTTTGAAATTACGTAAAGAAAATATAAGAATGTTTAAAACTACTGTTTTTAGGAGGGGTAATTATTGTTTCGATCTTTCTCTGGAGAGAGTAATTAATAGAGCGGGGGTAATTATTTGAGAGAGGGTAATTAATAGAGCATATACGGTAATGTTATTATGAGTTCTATTAAATTAATACACTTATTATTCCGATCTCTAATACATGTACAGATTTTTTAAACATTTTCAATGATAGTGGCAATGTTATATTTAGATGTTGTGTAGTAGTGTCACTATAGTATAAGAGCAAGTGAAAGTGGCGGACTAGTTGGATCATACTTGCGCGGCTAGTTACTGATCTCCTTCGTCTGTTCCTGCCTAGTAGTAAACCTTCAACACATTTACATTTCTACATCGGATAAACTTTATTCTCGTGTACATCAACAACGGAGACCCCTTGGACATAACAATAGGCACAGTGGAGGCTGAAGCCGGCTCTCAGCGGGACGCCAATGCTGAAGGCTTAAAACAAAAATAGAGCCTCAATGAGGAAGTTGTCATAATGTGTCCTCAAAACTGATAGTTTATCAGAGCCTAAAATTTTGATAATTTTCTCAAATTTATTTAACACCCTTAACTAACTTCTCCAGAAATTTCCGAATTTTTTGTCAAATATTTTTCGTTTTATGGACAATAAATCCCATAAAATTAGGCCTTCCTTCTTTTCAACGAGGAATATTCTTTGTATTTTGCTTGAACAATTAATTTATTTTTTATTTTAAAATATTTCCTTATTATTTTCCCTAAGGGCATTTTAAACACAAGATTATATATTTTTTGTTTATTCAATAGCTGGTTGTATTATAACAACGTAATACTTAAATAATAGATCATATTTACAGCTTTGCGTAATTTCGCCCTTACAATTTTCTGATTTTATATTAAAACTTTTTTTTCTGATAATTAATTATATTTATGGGTACTTTATTTTCGTGTAGATAAGGAAGCAAAAATCAGAATTAAATGGCTAGTCAAAATCAGAAATCACATAGCTAGTATTTTAAATTCAGAAATAAAGACAAAATAAATTTAAAATATCAGAATTAAATATCAAAAAATCAGAAGTATCACAATTAAGAATCATAATTATCATAATTATCAGAATCAAAAATCAGAATTGATATTAGAATTACAATCAGAATTACTCTCAGAATTAAATATCAGAATTAAAAATCAGAATTAATTATCAGAATTATTACAATCATAAATCAGAATTACCAGAATTAAATTTCAGAATAGAATTAAAAATTAGCATTAAATATCAGAATTAAATATCAGAAATTAAATCGGATATCAGAATTAGATATCAGAATTAACAAAATTAAAAATCAGAATTACATAAAAAATTATACAGAATTAAAAATCAGAATTATCAGAATTACACATCAGAATTACACATCAGAATTAAATATCAGAATTCAATTTCCGAATCAATGTATCAATAAAAATCAGAATTTTTTTCTGTTTTCCCTATTAGAAACAATCAAACAAAGCTGAGAAATAAAAAAAATATTCTGAAAGGAAACAACGGGAGATTGTCAAAGAAATTAGAAATTCCAATAATTTTTTGTTATGTGATCTTTTTGGTTATTTTTTGCAAAAAAAGGAACAACAAGAACTTGAAACCTTTGGGATGATCAACGAAAAAAAATTGGCGGACTCGTCAGATTAATTAATTCTTTTTTAATATCTGACAGCTATAAAGACGTGTGCGCAGTTGCTATTTAACCAAGTTTTCGCAATAGAGGAGATTAAGCGGGTTGTGGATATGGAAGACGAGAAAAAGGAGAAGAGAAGGATGTGGAAGAAGGAAAATGGTATAACTGACCAACGTTCTCCCTTCACCCCCACGGTTCCTTTCCCTCTATGTTCCCTTCCCTCTACTATGTTCCCTACACCCTACTATGTTCCCTTCCCTCTACTATGTTCCCTACACCCTACTATCTTCCCTACACTCTACTACGTCCCCTTCACTCTACTATGTTCCCTTCCTTCTACTATGTTCCCTACACCCTACTACGTCCTCTCCACCCTACTACGTCCCCTCCACCCTTTTTTATTGTTCCTCTCCCTCTAGCGCTTTGCAACCAATTCATCTCCGAAACACAACTTTTCTTGCCCGCAAAGGCTTCATCTCTCTCCTCGGACACCAGTCGGCTTTTCTTCTTGTTTTTACTCATTTGTGCAAGAATAAAGGAAAATTGCCCATTTGTGAATAAATTTTATTCCTTTATTTCTGGCTCATCTCCTTAAAAAAGCTCCACCTCTTTATCATTTATTGCCCATCCAAAAATATCAAAAACAGTTTTATTTATTGCTCAAAGATAAGCTAACATAAAAGAGAGGAACAAAAGTTGCGCCAGACTTTTAGCAGTCACAAATCAAAGAATTATTTTTTATCAAATTAGCTGTTTATGTGATAATTTAAAAATTGTCTAGTAAGTTGAAGTTGCTAACAATATAAAGCCAAAAAGTTGCAAATAAAAACTACACTTGTCGGCAGGCAACTTACTAACAGTTATTGCTAGATTAGCTTAGCTAACTTACCGGTACAGGTGTTATACTTACTGAGCTACTTTTTTTCTTTGATAAATCTTCCATACCTTGGGAGATGGAAGACGAGAGATTATGGAATTTATATGGTCCTTCAACCCATGGCTCCTTTCCCTATGTTCCTTACAATCTATTAAATCCCCTTCCTTGAAGTATTCATTCCACCTTTTGTTCCATTCCTGCAAGAAGCTTAGTTAACTACCGCTAAAGTGGCTCTACTAACTGAGCTACTTGGAGCTTAATTTTTATAGAGTTGTCAACTCATTCTAAAATTATTTGAAAGTTGTGAGGCAACTCAATCTGTTAATCTTTCCCAACTATATTTAATGTTATTAATCAAATACTCAACAACAATGCCTTCTCGGCATCAACGGAAAGCTTGGACAATGGTCTTATTATTGTTGGCTCTCCCTTTTAATAATGCCTTTTTGTTTGGAAGTTTAGGCGGTGGAGGTGGTGGTGGTGGAAGTTGTAATTCTTGGTTTGCTCCTTTATTCAAAAATTAATAAAAAAAATTTTCAAGTTGTGCACCACCCCCACCCCCACCTGTTTGTGCACCACCACCATCTTGTGGTTGTGGTGGCGGTGGTGGTGGAGGAGGCGGCGGTGGAGGTTCAAGAGGTTAATTTATAATTAACAGTCACATTTTAGTGATAATTTAGGTCCAATAATTGTTAACTGTGGTGGTGGTAATGAAATTGGAGCAGTCGGAGGAGGAGGAGGCTATGGTGGTGGTGGAAGAGGCGAAGGAGGAGGCGATGGAGGAGGAGGATGTGGAGGCGGTGGAGGAGGATGTGGAGGCGGTGGAGGAGGATGTGGAGGCGGTGGAGGAGGATGTGGAGGAGGATGTGGAGGCGGTGGAGGAGGATGTGGAGGCGGTGGAGGAGGATGTGGAGGCGGTGGAGGTGGATGTGGAGGTGGCGGTGGAGGAGGATGTGGAGGCGGTGGAGGAGGATGTGGAGGCGGTGGAGGAGGATGTGGAGGCGGTGGAGGTGGATGTGGAGGTGGCGGTGGAGGAGGATGTGGAGGCGGTGGAGGAGGATGTGGAGGCGGTGGAGGAGGATGTGGAGGCGGTGGAGGAGGATGTGGAGGCGGCGGTGGATGTGGAGGAGGAGGTGGTGGTGGATGCGGAAGCAGTGGAGGTTCTAGTATCGATCTTCAACTTGGATGCAGCAGTGGAGGAGGCGGTGAAGGAGGTTGCGGCGGTGGAGGAGGCGGTGGTTGCGGAGGAGGCGGTGGTTGCGGAGGTGGATGTAGCAGTGGAGGCGGAGGAGGTGGAGGTTGCGGAGGCGGATGCAGCAGTGGAGGTGGAGGAGGAGGTTGTGGCGGTGGAGGAGGTGGTGGTTGCGAAGGCGGATGCAGCAGTGGAGGTGGAGGAGGAGGCGGTGGTTGTGGAGGCGGATGCAGTAGTGGAGGTGGAGGAGGAGGATGTGGAGGCGGGTGTAGCAGTGGAGGCGGAGGGGGCGGTGGTTGCGAAAGTGGATGTAGTGGTGGAGGCGGTGGAGGTTGCAGCGGAGGTGGAGGTGGCGGTTGCGCAAGTGGATGCAGCGGAGGAGGCGGTGGATGCAGCAGTGGAGGAGGAGGTGGAGGTTGTGAAAGCGGTGGATGTTCAGGTTTCTGTAATTTATTGAGACCTGCTTTATCTCTTATATTCTTAAGCTGTTGCTCCAAGTGGTGGCGGCTGCTCGGGTGGTGGAGGAGGTGGCTGTGAAGGTGGTGCTTCTAGTGGTGGAGGTCAATATGCTGCAGTTAGTTATCATTTGAAAGGAAAAATTATACCATTATTTAGCCTCAAGTTAGTGCTGGTGGTGGTGGAGGCGGTGGTTGTGGAGGCGGTTGCAGCAGTGGCGGAGGAGGAGGTGGAGGATGTAGTAGTGGAGGCGGAGGAGGTGGAGGATGTAGCAGTGGAGGTTGCAGCAGTGGTGGTGGCGGTGGAGGAGGAGGAGGAGGTCGCTTTCAATTCTAACCGTAGTTATTTATTTTATCAGGTTGCGGTGGCAGCCCTCCAAGCGGCGGCTCCTATCAAGTATCCGGAGGTGATGGAGGTCATTCAGTGCAAGCTAGCGGTGGTTACCAACAACCAGAACAACCTCCTCATGCCCAGCCTGAACCTTTGCCCTATGCGCCACAACCCCAGCATGAGACGTATAATCAGGGTGAGGCATTCATCATTAAAATAATCTCAAACCTCTCGAGCCAAAACCTTCGGATTCCTCCCCCCCCCCCCCCCACAAAGCAGCTTTTCTATTCAGAAATGTGCACCAAAATTTTTGCATGTGGCGCCAAACGCCAATTTTCATGTTTTTAAAACTCGCCAAAATCAAGACTCTAAAAAAATCGAGTACAAATTAACGCCAAACACCTTGGCGCACAGTCCTGCTTCTTGTACTTACTCTCATTAGGACCAGGGATGAGCCTGATAGAGAGAAAGCTCACAAAGGTTGATCTTTGGTCTTCCGTTGCGTTTTTTTAATTAGACTTGCTTCTATCCCTCTCGTGGATATCGCCCATTCCCCCCAAGACAATTCATCCCAAAATCCCCTCCAAACATTTATCCTTCCCCATTAACACATTCAAGTTGCAGTAAATCGCCGCGTAATTGCGCGGCTTTCGCATAACCAACAACAACTAAAAACACTCTGCGGGGAACTAGAAATGACTAAAAAAGATGCGAAAAATTTAAAGAAAACAAATAAAAAAAATTTTTTCTCGTTTTCTTTTATTTCTCCCTTTTTTAGTTCCTTTTATTTTTCTTGTAAAAGGGGAAGAAGATTCCTTCTCTCCAAAAAAATTTTTTTTGAGATCTTCTAAAGGATGGCGTTTATCGCTGAATATCCCTTCTCTCTCTCTCCCTTTTTTGCTCATCCTCCTTTTCCTTTTTAATAATTCCCTTAAAGAAAAAAAATTGTTTCAGAGAGAAAACGAGTATAATAATATTTATTTTATTATTATTGCCGCGCGATAAGAATAATTTTCTTGGAGGAAAAACATGTTGGAGTGTGTCATCTTCCTTTTCTGCTAATTTAACAACCGATTATCGCTTTCTTTTTTGATCGCTTTCCTTTTGATCTCTCCTTCCCTTTGATCTCTTCTTTCGTTTTCTATTTTTCTTTTTTTCTCATAATAATCAGTGTTCTTATTGGAGACAGGATTTGACACTGCTAACTTCTCGAGAGTTAAGCTAAATATCTCGAAAAATCTCGATCTCTATTTTTCAACGAATCTCGCTTCTAAGGATCACTTTCTTCGTTTCAACTTTGCTCTAGCTCTCTTCCTCCTTCTTACTTATCTAAACCTTCCACCAGAAACGGTTTAATGGAACACCCAAAAAATTTCAATTGGATTATAGGGATTGGATGGATATAATTAAAAATGCACGTAAGGTGTACAATTAAAAGGGACAATTTAGAGAGGATATATTTGAATAAAAGGAAAAATAAATTTTTAAAATTAATTAATTTCCCTTTCAGCCCCTCAAGAAGTTCCAAGTGCCCACCAAGAAGTTCAACAACCTGCTGCTGTTGAAGAAACACCCCAACAACCACCAGCACCTCCCCCTGCTGGAGGCTATGAAAGTGGGGGAAGCAGTGGTGCTGGAGCGGCGGCAGCTAATAATGATTATCAACATGAGACGGAAGCTCCGGCTGCGGCGCCTGCAGCGGAGTCGTCTGAGGGTAAAGAGGGAAAATATATGCTTGTAGAGCCTCTAGCTATGAAATAACCTTTGGGGCTGAAAATTTGTATCTTATAATTAGGTGAGGGGAGGAAAGCTGTCCAAGACCGAAAATTTTCTAAGACTCGAGACCAAGACCGAAAAACCCCCAAGAAAAGTTTTGAGACAAGACCCAAGACCAAGAGTCTAGAGTCATCAATTGAGGTAATCATTTAGGCAATTTCCCATCCCCTCCTCAATGGAGAACCACATTTTTGAAAAACGTGTCTTAGATAGAGGTGCATCTACATAGTCTTGGATCTATCTTATAGTGTGGACTATACAGTAGGACAATACAGTAGGACCTCAACTTTATATGCTTTCAAGCTTACTTGGAACCTCAATTTAAGATATTTTTTTGATTTCGTTATCCATTGTATTGGAGAGCTTCTTAAGCAATACCCTCTATCTAAGAAACATCATTAGTAGATACGATTTTCTATCTCCACGGAAGTATCATATAGAAAGGTTAATCTATACTAGGGATATTAACTGTTGGGGAAACAAAAAAGGTTATCAAAATTTCTAAACAATATTCCATTAGAAGAAGCCGAAACTCCTGCTCCTGAAGCACCAGCCGCACCGAGTTATAACGCGGCTGAAGCATCGTCTGCTGAACAAACTGCACCGGCCGAACAGCCGGCAGCCGAGGGTAAATATTATTTTGCTTCAGTTTTAAACTTTGCTTCAATTTTAAGAACATGCCGCTTCAGAAGAAGCAGCTCCAAGCTACAATAATAATGCGGTTTCTGCTCCAGCCGCAGCTCCAGCAGCGCCCGAGCCGGCCCCAGCCGGTTTATTTTAGAGATTAATATTTTCATAACCCCTTTCTTCTTTAGCGTCTGAACCTGCAGCCCCGGCAGCAGCTCCCGCTCCAAGTTATGGTGGCGGAGACACAGCGGCGGCCACAGCTCCTGCTGCTCCGGAAGCGCCGGAACCTGCAGCGCCACAACCTGCTGCTGCACCTAGCTATAATGCTGGTGAGTTAATTTTGTTTTCTAGAATCATCCTAAACGACGTCTCCTTTCAGCTGCAGAATCCTCTCCTGCAGCACCGGCTCCAGCACCAGTAGAAGTAGCTGCCCCAGCACCCGCAGCACCAGCTCCCTCATACGGTGGATTAGGGGTTTATAAACCCTAGATTTTAAAATCTTGTCCGCAAAATTTGTCCGCAAGTTTTTTGTCCGCAAATTTTTTTGTCCGCAAATGTTGTCCGCAAGTTTTTTGCGGACACCATTTTAGTCCAAACTCAAAAAATTTTACGACACCCCTTTCAAATATTGTTTGTGTATATAACCATAAAAAGGGAATTTTCAGGAAGTCCGAATTACAATGTCAAATTCACAATCATGGAAATTCCCGGTGAATTTTGGAAAATATTCTAATTAAATTTTATGGGCCCTCAACTAAATAATTAACCAGAAAATAATTTTAAAAAATTAATTTTTTAAAAGGTGCTCAACAACCAGCTCCCTCGGTGCCTGAAGCAGAAGTTCAAAAAGGAGGGTATTTCAGACGACGCTCACGACAAAATAATAATGAGAATGCACAATTTGCTGCTAAGACTGTGAATGTTGATTCAAAATGCAATAATGAGGAGTTGAGAAAGATTATGGATAAGGTGAATAATTGTTGAAAATTTTTATTGATAGACTGATAAGATAAGTTAATAATTTTTACAAACCAAAAATAGTTTGTCCGCAAAAATTTTTTTGTCCGCAAAAATTTTTTGCGGACAAAAAATTTTTTTCTGCAATTCTCTTCGTAAAGAAATATTTAGTCCGCAAATTGAATCCGCAAATAAATTTTTATCCGCAAAATTTTTTTCCTTATATTTTTTCTTTAAGTTTAAAAAAAACTTTCTTTTTAGAGCATAGCAGAAAGCACGGCCACATCAAAAAGAGCAATAGCCAAAAATGCTCGAGAACATTTTGGTTCCTCATTTGACGTTGTCTGCAGCACAGGCAATTATTTTAAAATTATTTTTAAAATTAAAAAATCCTCTTTTAGCTGATTTCTCCTATTTGGCCAACACAAGAATATTTTGCGAGCACAAAGTAACGGACATTACATGTTTTGCTTTTGAGCATTAGGAAGTGATAGATTGATGAAAATTTAAATAATATATATTTTAGTGTATTTATGCAATATTAAAAAACAACAAAAAATTTCATTTGCTTCATTAAAAAATTTGCGAATAAAAAATTTTGTACGCAAAAAATTTGCGGATAAAAATTGTCCGCAAAAAAAAATTGCGGACGAAAAAATTTTGTCCGCAAAAAAAATTGCGGACGAAAAAATTTTGTCCGCAAAAAATTTTTCGTCCGCAAATTTTTTTTCCGCAAAATTTAAAAATGAAGCAAAAAGTTTTTTTGTTAACAATGTTTATTGTTTTACTTTCCTTTCTTTTTACTTCCCCTATAATTTACTGTTAACTTAAAATTATATTTTTATATTAAAAAATCCCTCCTAATCCTTCAAATAATTAAATATGTGCAATAATAAAATACAAAATTTAAATGTATTTGCTTGTATTTAAAAATTATAGTTTTGTTAATAAAAATATTTATAGAAAGACTTCTATTTATTTAATATGGTCAGATTTTTAATTAACGAGAAATGAAGATTTCCGGCCTGGGAAAAATAGGGGAAATTAAATATACAGTCAATATTCCAACAGAATCCCATCCATCGCTGAGTACAGCTTCGGAGCCAGCAGGGTACGGCTCCGGAGAGTAATATTTTGAAAACCCCGGAGCCTGAACCAAGGTTTGAAAAAGGACGGAGTCGGAGCAAATAAATACCCAATACTGATCTCATCCTCAATATTAGAAGTCCACACCCCGTTAGAAACCCACTCAATGAGACACATGAAAAATAAAAGTACAAAACTTAAATAAAAGCAGCCTATATTTGGGGTATGTAAAAAAAAACTAAGGATCAGTAAGAGTCAGAATTTAATAAGTTTAGATTCAATTTGAGATATACATACACCTAAGCTCTAGAAAAAATTTAGTGGACGGTAGGCCATGGATATAGACTTGAGAACAATTGACTATGCCACCATTAAATGATGGATTTTTAAATTTATTTATGTTCTTTCTGCAAGTGCGGACACAACAGACCACAAGGCTCTAATTAATATAAAAAATCAACATTGCAAGTCAATATAAATTATTTTTTAATTATCAAAAAAAATTCCAGAAACAGAAAAAAGGGGTCAAAATAACCATATATTAAATATCAAGAGGTACAAAAAAATTCATTTTTTAAAATTTCTTTTACAAAAAATAGGGTACAGTAACACGTTCAGGTCGTTTCCTTTCTGATTCTTCTACCTCACTAAAATATATAGTTTCTCGATCTCCACTAGGGCCATGAATTTTTAAGACAGAAGCTAGGTTACCACAACGATAGCAATAATTGGGGGCTTTAATAAAAAATAATTTTTTTATTAATTTGGTTGAATCCAGCCCTGGGAACCTATTGATCCTGAATATCTACAACTTTTGAAGGGAAAATCAAAAAGGGGAATATAGAGGGACCCCCCCCCCCCTCCACGAAATGGAGAAAAGGAAAGAGGTAAGAAAGAAGGTTAATTTTTTGGCCTACGGTCTTCCAAAATTAGGGTTGGGGCCCGATCCGAAGGAACGAGACGGGCATCGAATTTTGGACCGAAAAAGACTTGGTCAGGCCGGCACGATAAAAAAAGACTCGAGAACCCCAACCTTATCCAAAATTCTCAGAATACCCCCCCCCCCAAAAATTTTCCTGGCTACGGGAAAAATCCTCCTAAAATCGACCCAGGCATACGCCCTAAAAGATTACCAAATAATTGGTTCACCAAATAATTAATTTTGAAAAATTCAACAAATAATTGCCCAATTATTTGTTAAAAAATCAAAAAATTAAAATTTTTTTACCAGACCAAACAGTGCACAAAACATCGTCAAAAATATATTTAAAGCCTTCCTGTACAAGTTGGTGTGACCGGCAAATAAGTGAAAGGCCGTTAACTTCAAGAAATTTTTCTACAACATCGCGGCCAAATAACTAGAAAATTTTAATTTAAAAAAAAATTAAAAAATACCCATCCAGCACCACGAGGATTAAGAAACCAGCCACAATCAGAATCGTCTGGGTCTGACCAAACCTGAATTCAAAAAAGTATTTTCTACAATTTAAAGACAAAGCAGGAATTATTCAAAAAATTAAAAAAAAAAAGTTTTAAATTCACAACTCTTGGGAGCCGGGTAAAACGCAAAGGCGGGGGCGAAATGGGGGAAAGTTAAAAAAATTAATAGAAGGGTGATCACAAAAAAGTGAATTTTTTCGCGTATTTTTTCGTAAATTTTTTCGTGTACAAAATTCAAAAAATTTCGAAAAATAAAAATATGGTTCGAGAAAAATTTGTGTACGGAACGCCAAAGTAAAAGCCAAAAATTTTGGCTCACACCCAATGTTAGCCTTTCAAACAATCCAAACCCAGGTATGCCAGCAAGTCGGGTAGGATTTCGGATCAGATTTTCGAAAATTTTCCGGATTGGGTATACAATTTCGGATCGTAAAATTATTAAGGATCGGAGTTTGACTAGCCCGTAACATCCCCAATCCAAAAAACCTCATACCAAATCACAAAGCGCCCCATTTGCCGGAACTTCAACACTTCTCTGCAAGCACATTATAGCGTCTAAAGTAGGCAATTCTGGACTAAGCCCTCCATGAACACAAAATATTTGGTCATCAATTAATGCACAAATTGGAAGAACATCAAAAACACGACAAAACCAGGTCCAAACAACAGAATTGCCGTATTTCTGTTGACATTCGTCATAAAAACCATATTGGTGGGAAACTGAAGGGAGGAAAATGGAAAAATTTTATAAAATCATCCATACACCGATTCAAACAAACTATATGTCATTCGAAAGAGCTCGTCGAGCTGAGTCGAAAGACACCAAAATTGGGGTAGGAGGTCAACTATAAGTCGAGTTATGGTCTCATAATGGTCAAAAAACGAAAGGGGATAATTGTTCGCCAGAATTGAAGTATGGGTAATATGTGAAATTTTTACCCGAAAATTTCTTTAAAATAAAAAAGAAAACCTCTTCGAGTTTCGTGATTGCCGCGAAGAAGAGTAATCCGTTCTGGATGTTTAAGTAACAAAAGGAATAAATAGGTGACGGTTTCTAGGCTAAAAAAGAATTTAAAAAAATTTTTTAAAAATTTATTTTAATTTTTAATCTGTTTGTATTTTATAGAGGAGAATCTCCTCTATTTTTTGTCATAAAAATTAAATTTCTACCTTAAATACAAAAAAAAGTTATAAACTTTAAAGTAAGCGTAAGTCAGCATAAAATTTGATAATATTTAACTTAAAATTTTTTTTTTAATTTTAAAAAATTAAATTTAAAATTTGATTCCCTTTTATCTTATAGAGGAGAGTCTCCTCTATTTTTTGATTCAAAAATTAAATTTCTAACATAAAAACAAACAAAGTTATGCCCCTAAAACTAAGCTTGGGTCGGCATAAAAATTAAATTAAAATAACAACACTTGAAATTTTTGGTCAAGTGGATAACGCGCTAGACTATCAACTGAAAAGGGCCCGGGTTCGAATCCAACTACTTCCTTAACCTTATAAAATGTTAAATATGAGTGTTTAAACTCAGAAATGATTAATAGAAAGTCTTAAAAAATTTTTAAAATTTTTTAAAAAACCTGTAATAACCCCTGTCAACATAATCTCCAAGAAAAACATAATTAGTCTCTAAAATGGATCCTCCACATTTGAAAAGCTTCATTAGGTCATAAAATTGTCCATGAATGTCCCCACAAATTGTAGCAGGTGATTTAACAGAAACAATGTTTGGAACGCGAAGAAGTCGATTTATCTAGATTGGAAAATCTCAGAAAAAAATTTTTTTTAAGAAAAAGTTTAAGCTTCGACTTGATTAATCGGAAAGAAAAAAATCCCGTAAAAATTGGAAAGACAAGAAAATTAAGTTTTATGTTTTAAATCTGGGTTCGGACAAGGGATGTCACGGGTTAATAGAAAATCGGGACATGTTCAGAGTTTTCAACGGATTTTGCCTGGATTAAGTTTCGAGTAGAAAAAGCCAAGGTTTCGGGTCGGTGAGGTTAAGAGGCAAAAAAGCCCGAAGTTCGTTTATCGAGTAACCAATGACATTCCCGTCTCGGACGAGTTTCTCAAACCCAGAAAAATTTTTTTTGACAAACCACGCTTAGGGAAAACCAGAAAATACGCCTCTAAATTCCAAACTCCGATTTAAAAATTTAAAAAAATTAACCAAAATTTGGCATGTAGTAATCATTTGTTCCTCGGGTAAATATTGACAAGCAGAAACAGTTGAAAGCCATTTGGATGGATATGCAACACGTCCTTTAAAAGAATTTTAATTAAAAAAATAATTTTAGATGAAAAATAACCTCGAAAATTGATTGGAGTCTCGTCTGAAAAAAAATTAAATTTAATTTAAATTATTGTGGAGACAATAATTTTCCCCAAAAAATTTTTTGAATGATAATAAATTGTCCACAAAGAAAAAAATTCACCAAAAATTTTGGCTCTTGTAAAGTTTATGGGACCAATCACTCATTTATAAGTCCATTGAATTTTAGATTCAATTTAGTATTATGCAGATTTGATAAAATTTTGCTTGACATGGACCGGATCCTAGACCAATGGTCCAGGTAAACCCAGGCCAAGAAAACCCCAGGAAGGTAAAAAAATGCCTGGGCCTGGACTCTGAGAGTACAGGAAAAACCCAGGCCTCGATCCAGACCCAGGCTGACCTCTAATAGGACGCTAAGGATTGAAAGGACTCAAAAACATGTCAATAACCCAAAATTTTATCAAAATTATTTTTAAAAAGCAAACTTTCTTCATCCTCAGTTTTCTCCACATTTGGGGGCGGTGAAGGAGATTTATTATTATTATTTCCCTCCTCAACCTCTTCCTGTGGGGACAATGCAAGATTATTAATTTCGTTTAAGGCGGAAGAACATCCGGAAGCGATAGCTTCTAAACTAGAATCGTGACTGTTGTCAGATTTTTCAATTTTCTCTTCCGATTCTATCGCTATTTTTGTCTCAAATTCGAAGGAGGAGTCGGCAGACATTTTTTAAGTAAATTAGCTGAAAGGGTGGATGTCTAAATTTTTGGAAATTGAAAAATTAAAATTAACATCAACAAAAATAAAACCGAAGCGAAATTGAGAAAATTAAAGGAAAAAATAAATACAGAATGCCAAAAATAATTCTTTGCCAAAAACTGCTGGGGTCTGGAAATTTGAACGTACAGCGAGTAGAGACCGGCAAAATCGCGTTTGTGGGATCCCGCGGGATAAAAATTTTTTTAAATCTTTGCGGGATGGGATCCCGCGGGATAAATCCCGCACTCCCGCAAAATCCCGCATTTTTAATTTGCGGGATCCCGTCCCGCGCCGGTCTCTAGAGTGCTGTTGTTCCTAGAGGTCGGTGCGGGACAGGATTCCGCGTGGGATTTTGCGGGGTCCCGCGTCCACATTCCCGCAATTTTTTCGATTAGCTGGATTTTTGAGGGATTTCTTTGATTTTGCGGGGTCCTGTCCCTAAAAATTTTGAAAAAAATCGCGCATGCGGGATCCCGCATGCGCGATTTTCCGGTCACTAGTCACAAATATGTTTCTAATTCGGTTAAAAAATTTACCGTATTGTCTCTAATAGAAGCCCATCTCCAATAGAAGCCCATGCCCTATTAAAAGCCCAATCAATGAGGGATATTGAAAAATGAAGCCCAGGGCTTGTATTAGAGAAAATACGGTATATCAGTCTAGCTACAAGTTTTTTAACTAATTTTGACATTAATAAACAAAATTCATTCTAAAAATTTAAATGAATATAATAAAGTATCCAATACTAAATTTAAAAAACCAAAAATATAATAGGCAGACCTCACATCCTTGGAGCTTAAATTCTATTTTATAATGAGTAGTGTGCCTTAAATGGGTGTTCAGTTAGAAAGCTCACCCTATCCGTTGGCCAGCCAAATTCTAGAAAATACTGGAAAATCTTGCTTCCTAACAGAGGTGGTAGGACATCCGAAAAGTCAGAATTTGTAAGGCGAAATCCTAACTCTGACCCTCTTCTTTGAACTCCAAGTGAGGTCCGACATAAAGTATATAATACTAGATTTTAAATGAAGTTAAACTTCAGAAGTATATAATACTTAGTTTAATTTTCTAAATTTCATCGAAATTTTCTTCTTTTTTTCTCTCATAATGAATTGTTTTGCATTTGTACTTACGAGCTTCCTGAAATTTTTTTATAAAGATTTATATTTAATTATCAGTTTACTGGGTATAATTGAAAAAGTAAATTAAAAATTTTTGAAGCTAAAGTATATTACCATGTGGACGATGTTGACGACCTCCTCGAGGATTGCGATATTGGCTACCTCCTCCTAATTTAAAATAGATTAATAAGTACATAAAATCGAATTCTAAGAAAGTATTAGATCTGAGGTCATTAATAGAATGTGTAGGTCCTTAGTATGGTTAGGGGCCCGGTCCGGTCCGAATGATCGTGTCGGGCATCAAATTTTGGCCCGAAAATGCCCTAAAAATGAAGCCTGATAAAAACCCGGTCGGACCGGTCCGATAAAAATGAGGCCTGAAAAAAGACTCGGACGTCGAACCGCCTCGAAAACCCCAACCCTAATCCTTAGATTTGATTTAAGCCTTTTTTGTATTACCAGAGCGTCGAGACTGATTAGAAGGTTGCGATGTTCCAACTTGAGTTTGAAGTAATTGATCTCGTGTCAATCGGTCAGTTAACTCCTCATTCGGGGTATATGTTTGAGTGAATAAAACTGTTGGAATTGGGATATGTTTATGATAGATTTGTTTATTGTTAAAACCTTGTGGAGGATAATACTGATGTTGTTCAGGCATATAAGGCATTTGCCCCTGAACATGGTGAATTGGCATTCCATACATCACAGGCATTTGAACAGGTTCTTGGATTGGAGTAAAATGTTGAGGCATATGGGCGTAGTTTCCTGGATAAACAGCAACTTGTGGTAAACCAACCATAGGCTGCTGGGATGGAACTTGATGAAGTCCTTGATTATGATGTGGTTGAAGTCCTTCATCATGATCATTATTTAGAAATTAATTTTAATATAGGTATTTCTGTCAGATATTTTGCTCGCTTTTAAATATGAGCAGGATACAAACAAATCTGTTATTTGTTGTAGTTTTGACGAGATACGTCGAATAATGCTAAAATCAAATCACACTGACCCCCATATATGTATACAACATACGGAAAATCCGCTCTTTTGAAACCCCAAATATTCATTATTAGAATAAAAAATGAGTTTTACCTCCTTGACTGGCCGTAATTGCTTCTTTTAATTTTTTCTTCCTCTCGCGACGCATTACAGTTTTTCTATTTGTTGCACTTTTCCATTTCCGATTATTTCCTCCCTCTTGAGTTCCCGATCCTTCCCCAGCTTCATTAATTACCTGATTCACCTCAGTTTCTCCACTTTCTTGAGTTCCCGACCCTTCTCCACCTTCATTAGCAGAGTCCGGGTCATTAGTTTCATCGTCGCTACCTCCCTCAACTTTGGGAACGCAATACGCAAATAAAATGAATAAAAGAAAAATTCCAAAGAATTTAAGCTTCTTCATTCTATTTTAAAAACAGAAAAGTTTTTCTTAAGTAAAAAAAAATTTTTTAAGGGTAAATTACCCAAGTCGTCTATGATAATAAATAAAAGTCAAGTGTAATTAAAAATAATTAAAAAAATAGGGTGAGGTAAAATTATAAGCAAGCCTATTTAAATGAGAGGCGTCTAAGCAAGGCTAAGGGAAGGACGAAAGGAACAAGGCTGTATCGAAATTTGATTTTAAAGGGTCGAAATTTCGAACCTCAAACCCCACTCTAAAACATCAAAGGCAAAGTGTCTCTGATAAAAATTAATTGCAATAAAAGTTGGACAACTAATTAAAAAGGATATGTACATAGAATACATTTCGGATTAAACAAAACACGCAAAGGGATCCAGCACGGAATTTTATGGGATCCCGTCCGGGAATGTCGAGTTTTAAGCGAAAAACGAGATTAACGGGATTTACGAGATCCCGTCCCGTACAAAATATTTAAAGAAAAATCCCGTTACGGATCCTGGAATGCGATCTAATATCGACCAACACCAAAAAGTATATAGCTAGTCAAATACGGGAAAACCTCAGTTTCTTCACCGGTAGTTCCCTCAATTTTGGGGACATACCGTGCTTACTCAATTAATTCCCTTCTCTCGAATAATTCCCCCTGCTACGGATGAGTTGAATTTGTGAATAAAGAGCACTTATATCACTTAGGTGTGTATCGGTGTAGAGAAGAGTCTAAGGGACTTGATCAACCCTGAAGGTCTTCTAGAATTGTCCCGATCACATCCTCTCCCCTTGTATCCTATAATATCTGGAAAGGGCCCTATTATGTTTCTTTTTACTATTTTAAATTAAAAATTTTTTTTAACAAATCTTAAAACCCAAGTCATTTATAAATTGTAAAAATGAATTAAAAAAAAAATTTTTTTTTAATTTTGCGCGTTAAAAACAGATTTTAAAAAAGGACGGAAATGTCAAAAGCAAAAACATCAAAGGCAAAAGTGCAAGACAAACTTTGGTGAAAGTTCACATTTTGTCATCGCAAGTCAAGACACGTTTCCGCTATTTATTTTGAACGTTAGAACCCCCAAAACAACGGCAAAAATTAAAATGCAATTGAAAATAGCTACATAAGTCCCCATTTAAATTTTATTAAGCAGTGAAAAATAAAATAGTATGTAAATTATTAATTTTTCCTCCCCTATAATTTTTCCTCCCCTATTTCCCCTCTTAAATTCTTTCTTAAATCCCCCTCTATTCTGTCAAGTGATTTATTTTAGACAATAGAAGTCAGGCGCTATAACCTCGTGCTTATTATTGACTAGGGTAGCACGAGGTCGAGTTTCTCGGAAAAACCCGAGGCCGAGGTGGGAAAAGCCGAGGTCGAGGGGAAATTTGGACCCGAGATCGAGGTCGAGGACCTATGATAACCGAGGTATAATGCGAATTTTTTTCATTTTTCTATGTCGGGAGTCACAAGATTTGATTAGTTCCGGGAGCTAGACTTTTGAAATCCTCAAAGCCTTGCCAAGGCTTGAAAAGTTCGGAGCCAATAAATGCCCAGTACTCTTTGCGGATCAGGTTAATGTTCAAATACCCGTCATTTCCCATCTTCTGTTGTTTCAATGCCTGATAAAAGCCAGAAGTGGCGTGCCAACTTCTAGATCTACAGTTCATTATTAAGGATTGTTTCTCACTAATCCAATAACTAATCCAATAGGCTCCGGGAGTGGCCAACTGACGCCCTGAATTTTATGTTTTTTAATGTCAAGGTCCTGAAAACTCATATCAGAGTCCGGCCGGGCTGTAATTATAAAGAAAGGCAGTCGATGTGCAAAATGTCTATATAAAATGCCTTTCTCAAGTGATAGCACGCAGGCGCATTAATCTGGTATGATTTATTGACTTAAGACGTGTCAGGGGTATTGAAGAGTCTGATGAGTGTCGTCTCTTCCAATATCCCCTATTGAAAAAAACATGGCATTCTCGAGAAAAGTTTTCAATGACTGGCAAAAGCTAGAATCAGCAGGCAACTGCTAGATTTCTTCTAGTGACACATTATGTATATGTTGACAATGATATTTATTTCAGTCTAACTACAAGATTTTTTAACGAAATTTTAAAAATTAATAAACAACGTTCATTTTCAAAATTTAAATATAATTTTAAAAAATATTTAGGCTAAAAATATAATAATCGGACTTCACTATGAGATACACCTTTGAAGCTGAAAATTAGTATTTTATAAGAGAAGAGTGCCCTAAATAAGTGTTCAGCTTAGGAGGCTCCCCCTATCCATTGGCCAGCCAACTTTTAGAAAGTACGGGCAAATCTCGATTATTAACAAAGTGGGTCAGAACAGACGATAACGTCGGAATTTGGAAAACGGAAATCCTAACCCCAATCCACTTCTTTGAACTCCAAGTGAAGTCCGACTTGTAGAAAAAGTATATAATACTAGATTTTAGATAAAGTTAAAGTTCACAAGTATATAATACTTAGTTTAATTTTCTAAATTTCATCGAAATTTTCTTTTTTTTCTCTCATAATGAATTGTTTTGCATTTTTGGATTTACGAACTTCCTGAAAAATTATTAAAAATTTAATTATTTTCGAGGATAATTAACGGTATCTTTGGGTTACTGATTGGTAAACGGATACAGAGATTCGGAAAAGGATATAGATTATTGGATTGTTTGAATATTTATGGTGTCCTTAATAGAATGAGGTCCATAGCTTTGATTGAAAACCTTTTATAGTCACTCCTACCGTTTGAGGGCCTCTTACCATTATGATGTTTGGGGGACCGCCTCTTACAATTTTTTACTAATGTGAATTTTTTCATTTTTCCATGTCGGGAGTCACCAGATTTGGTTAGCTTCAGCAATTAGGGACCTATGTAAAACGATCTGCTTACAGAAAGAACTGCGGCCCCGACCCCCAAACGGCAGGAGTGCCCTTTTATGTATTACCAGAGCCTCGTGTCTGATTAGGTGGTTGCGATGTTTCATCCTGAGTTCGAAGTAATTGCTCTCGTGTCAATCGGTCAGTTAAATCCTCATTAGGGTCATATGCCTGATGTAATGAACGTGTTGGAATTGGAATATGCCCATAATAGATCTGGTGATTGTTGTTAATAACAGGTGGAGGATAATGCAGAGGCTGTGCAGGCATATAAGGCATTTGCCCTTGCACTGGGTGAATTGGAATTCCATACATCACAGGCATTCCTTGAACAGGTTCTCGGAGTGGAGTAAAATGTTGAGGAGCGTAGTTTCCTGGATGAACAGCAACTGGTGGTAAACCTAACATAGGTTGGGATGGGACTTGATGAAGTCCTTGATTAGGATGTGGTTGAAGTCCTTGGTTTTCAGTTAGTTCATATTCCATTGCTTAAGGTTAATTTAGAAATAAATTATTATTTTTATAAGATAACCTCGTGTTGGAAAAAAATCTGGGGGTATATAGGTTTCGATAATTGGATGATGAGCAACTGTTGGAGAACCAACTATAGTAGACTGGTGAGGAATTTGATAGTGCCCTTCATTAGGATGTGGTTGGACTCCTTCAGGATCTGATTCATATTGTTCTATTGCCTCTGATAAAGTTTAAAAATTATTAATAATTTTATCGTATATTTTTCTTGTCCTTTTATAATAAAAGTTGTGCCACTAATTAAAATTAAATGGGGAATGGGATACATTGAGTATGAGACAACAATCTGAAATGAATAGGTTGGGAGCAGGCCAACTTACCGCGAGCCCAACTTATCGCCGAGCTATAACTTCGTTCAAAATTGTCGAATCCGGGACGCCCTAGTATGGTTTGATGCGCCTCGACGAGCTAAATCGAACCATACCAGGGCGTCCCGGATTCAATCATTCTGAACGAAGTTATAGCTCTGCGGTAAGTTGGGCTCACGGTAAGTTGGGGTATATCCCAGGGTTACGATTCCTACTTTTTTAAAAGTATTCTACTTTTAAATCGACCTCCATGCTTACGAAATTGAATTTATACTTTTTTGAAAGTATCTACTTTTAAATCAACATTTCGGATTGAAAATGAAATTGGGGAAGGGATTGGGCAAAAAAGTGAATTTTTTCGGCCTAAGGCCTTTGAAATTCTCAAAATTTTCGCCTGCGGCGCTGAAAAAGGAAGAAATCTAGCTTCTTGGGTCTAAATTTCAAAAAATTTTCGCCTGCGGCGCAAGAAATTGAAGAAATTTAGCTTAAGGACCTCCAAAATTCTCAAAATTTTCGCCTGCGACGCAAAAATAGAAGACTTTTTGTTGCCTTCGGCGCCACAAAATGTGCATTGAAATGCACAAAATGCTCAGTGGGAGCAAGAAATTATTAGAAAAAATTCATTTAGAAGAGAAATATAAAAGATTTGAGCACGAATAAATATTTTCTGATTTAATTTTGAGACTACTTTTTTTTTGCAAATTTTCTCCCTATATACTTTTAAATCCAAATTTTTGTACTTTTGATGGGCCTTTTGTCGATCGTAACCCTGGTATATCCGAATAGGTTCATATTTTTTAAAACAATCTTTTTAAAATTAAGATAAAAAAAGCCAGGAACACAGAATTTGAAGTTGAATAACCCAACCACTTTCTATTTCAAAAGGATATTTGATCAAATCCTACTAAATACCTCTTTCTAATCGTTCCATTATTCTTTTCTTCTTTTTATGCCTGTTATTGCGTATAGTTCTCCCTCTCCCCACTTTTTTATCTTCCGCATTTTCTTGAGTTCCCGATCCTTCTCCACACTTATTAGTTGCCTCATTCACCTCAGTTTCATCGTCGCTACCTCCCTCAACCTTGCGAACACAATAAGCAAATAAAATGAATAAAAGAAAAATTCCAATGAATTTTTGATTGTTCATTTCCTTTAGAAAAACGGAAAATCTTTTCTTAAAATTCTCAAAAATTTATTTTTTATTTTAAAATTAAAAAAAATTTTTTTTTCTAAAAATTATAAATTACTCAAGTCATTTATGAAAGTAAATAAAAATGAAGCATTTTTTGAAAGAATTCTTTTTTTAAATGATCCCGATCTTTTTTACTCAAGAATTCTAATTTTACAAAGAAAAGCCGGCTTTACTTAAGTGCAAGCGTCCCATGAGCTTTTATGCGTCCCATGAACCCTTATGCGTCCCATAAAATTTTTATGCGTCCCATGAGCTTTTTTGCGTCCCATGAACCCTTATGCGTCCCACAGAAGTATATACGTCCCAAAAATAGAATACACGTCCCATCAAAGTACCCTCTCAAGCTCCTTACACAAGATATCTCTTAATCCCTACACCTAAAGAAAATTACCAGTGATTACCTCTTAATTACCCCCCCCCCCCCAAAAAACCAATCCTTACAAATCCTTCAATAGCTCTGTTAAGCCAAAAATCCATTCCTAATTACTCCTAATCCCTCTATTCCTCTGTCAAAATATAGCAGTCAGGCGCAATAACCTCACGTGATTAATATTTATTTGAGAAAAAAATCCTCCGTTTGTTCCAGCCTCAAGCCCTTCGCCTTCATTGTTCATTTCTACATTAGATAAAATTTTATTCTTGTGCACGTCAACATTAGTTAAATCTCGGACAACCCTAGGAGATAAAATACAGCTTCACAATTAATTTAAAAATCAGCAATCCTCAACTGCAATACCATACCATCCCCAATATTTAACCTAATTAATCTTTGTTACTGTAAGAAATTTTCGTAACAACAAGTAGGTTTTTATAATGGACAGTTTGTTAAAATTCTTAAAAATTGTTTTTTGACTAATTCAAGAAAATCACTCGACAAATAAAGAAAAATGTTTATCTAACAATAGAAAGTCTACAATATGCAGAAATATGCAAAAGTTTTTAAAAAACGCAAAAAAATATGCAGAATATTAGGGTTGGTCCACGACCCGTCGGGGAGAACCTCTTCGGGAACGCGGATGTCAAAGAAAAAAATTTCGGCGGGGATCGGGGACCAACTCTACATACAAAATAAGATGGTACGACTTCTGCTAGCTCTAATATACATTTTTACTCTGTAAAAAAATTTCTTCAAAAAATTCTCTTGAAAAATTTCCGTTAATCATTCATCATGGATGTTCGTTTTTGGAGCGTATGTTGGAACGATTAGTATTTCCTTCTAAAAATTTTTTGAACGTATATATATAACCCACATATTTTTTAATTACTTAAATTAACTCAAATTGAAGTTTACTATTGTGCTAAGTCAATCATAATGTCACTTGATTTGACTCCCCCTCGCCCGGTTCCCCCCTTCCCTAACATAAACAAAATTCAGATTGATGTGTGTCGTTATAGAGGGATTCTACTGTAGTTGAACATCTTAACTTCCAGGAAATATATCCATAGTTACAGATATCGTTAGTACCAGTAAGCGTCCCTCCCCCCACCTCCCACAAGTTACTTTATATTATTTAATTGAAATTTACCAGGGCGGTGTGACAAATTGGGAGGTTGAGAAGTTTCATCTTGAGTAAGAATTAATCGCTCTTTTGGTATTGTCAGACTTAAGTCTACATTAGGATCAGATACTGGATATAATAAAGGTGTTGGCATTATCTGACTATGACCATGTAAAGGGTAGTGAAATGGTTGTTGTTGTTGGACAGGCATATTAGGCATTTGTCCTGGGACTTGAATAACTGGTTGTGGGTGAATATGGTAATGATGATTGATGACTGTTAGTTGAGGAGGGTGTTGATGAGGAGGATATTGTGGATGCGGAAGTTGTTGTGGGTGAGGATAAGAAGGATGAGTATATTGTGGTAATATATGATGGTGGACTTCCGAATAAACTGGCATTGGAGGAACCATATGTGGAGAATAAGGAGGTTCTTGATGGGGATATTGTTGTAGCATGTAATGTTGAACTTGAGGATTAATTGGAGTTGAAGGCATATTAGATGGAGATGTCATCGGACTCACGCTGTTAATAAAGGTACTTAAATACATATGACTATTCTACCTTGAGTGATATAAAATTTTCGAGAAGGAAAAACAAGGACCACCCTAACAAATAAGGCAGAAAAAACCCTATGTCCGATCAAGATCCTGGTCTCTGTTAAGACAAGATAAGCAGTCCGAAAATCTAAACCAAGGGTCACTGACGGATCCAATGATTATAGTCGAAAGGTTGGTACATTTATAACGCCCTCTAAAGACCGAAAGAAAATCTTCGGGAGGAACCAAGGGAGGAACTTTTGGCTTTAGGGAAGAACCACCTCTCAGACCAGACCTCTCAGATCTCAGTTGATTGGGACCTCTCAAGATTTTTTAGTCGATCAGGACCTCTCAGACCAGGTTCATTAATTCTATTACTACCCAACTTTAAAACTTGAAGAAAAATCTTACAACTGATAGTTTAAGGGAGTTTGAGAGCTGTTTAAAATTGAGTTTTGTCTTTTAAAAGAATTTTGTTGGCGTTGATGTCCTTGCTTAGGTCGGTTAGTGAATAGAGGTTTTGGACGATTTTGTTGATGCTGATTAGGTCGAGTAATAATTAGAGGTTTTGGATGATTATAATTCCCTCGTAAATTTCTAGTTCCTTTAAAAGTGTTTGGAAGGGGTCCTTTAGTAGGCTCCTTTGGAGAGTTTGACGCAACTGATTCTTCCAACCCCTGAATAAAAATTTGAGAAATTTAAAAAATAAGCCTAAAATATGCCTTTTCCAGTTCAATGTTAGTTGAAGATGTTTTGGATGAAGATGTTCCCGTTTCAGTTAAAAATTTTCTTTGTTCTGAACATTTTATATAAGATTTAGGTTTGTATCTGGTCAATGTTTTATTTAATTTGAATTCACGGTAAGAGGGGTGGTCATTGTGACCTCATTTATATGACACCCTGCTAGTATGCTCTCCGAGGTTATCGAGTTTTTTCTGCCTGAAAGGTGACATTTTAGCCACATTTCCCTCCCCCCCCTCACCCCCCACCTGGCTACGGGCCTGAAGCGACCTATATATATAGTTACGTAACATGGATGTGCCGAAACAGATTTTAAAAAGCGAAACGCAAGGTCAAGGTCAATTTAAAAAGAGAACGGTGAAAGTCGAGCGGCATAACGCCAAAAAAGGCGAAAAGCCGCGAAGCAAATTGGCACACTCCTCTAGGACAGGACTATTAGACTCGAATTTAAATTATATATATTTTTCTTCTACCTCTTGCTATTCTTATAAGATGCCCTTCCAGAGTTCTCCTACGCGCGTTTCTTCGAGAACTTCTACTTGGTTGAAGCTTCGATTCAGTATGTTCTGGCTTTTTAACCTCACTTTCAATAAGTTGTTGATTTTTTCGGCGCCATTGAACTTCCCCTATTTTTCCTTTTCCTTTTTCATCTTTTAATTTTTCTTCATTGTTTTCCTCGTTTAAAACAACAGACTCGTCTTCGTAATCCGAAGAGGTTTCAGAGGGTTCTGAAGCAAATAAATTTGTAAGATTTAATTTGGCTTCCTCTTCCTCCTCATTTTTAATGACTTGAGAATCCTCTCCCTCATTTTGAATGATTTGAGGCGAATTTTCTGATCGTTTTTCTTCACATAATTCCCCATCAGAATGAGTTGGAGATGAAGAATCTAATAAAAAAAAATTTTTAAAATTTTATTTCTGGCCTTTTCAAGTCTTGACCCTTCCAAGTCTTTGTCTTAAAAGGTCTTGCGTTTTGCGGCAGAAAATAGCATTGAGAATGAAAGAGACGCGGTTTTGTCTCTCCTTCTTTTGAATGCTATTTTCTTCCGCAAGACGCAAGAGCGTATTCACCCAAAAGACGCTTTGCGTCTTGCCACATTAAATAGCATTCAAAACATGGAGAGACAAATCGCGCGCGACTTGACTCTCTTCATTTCCTATTATCTTTTCTGCCACAAGACCCATTGAATTTTTATATGGACGTAGCATTAGACATCTTTATCAGACTCCCTGTTGTCTCTCTCTTCTATCACTCTCTGCTTCGCTGCGGCTGGAAATATCGTCAGATGACAGTCTCCTTGTGGTTCCGACATTAAAACAAGTTCACAGTTCCAGGCGATTCCCAAATTTTTGACAGTTCCGGGACCAGGGCTGAGCGTCATAGCATTTGGCGTTTTGCGTTTGGCGTCAATTTTTAGCCGAATTTTGGCGTTTTGCGTTTGGCGTGTTATAGAATTTTGAAAAATTGGCGTTTGCGTTTGGCGTTCAACGAGAAAATTTTGGCGCACAGCCGTTCGGACCGTGTTTACTGGTCTGGAATGCACTCCCTCCTAGGTTCAGTTAACCAGGAAGGCACTCTTTCCTCGTATTTTATCAAAACATTTCAATATTTACCTTTCCCATATTCTTCATTTTTTGTGTCAATATTTTCTTCCCCGGAAGATTTTTGTAACACCTCAGAAGTTGAAACCAAATTCCCACATTTTAATTCATTTAATTCGCTTTCCTCAATACCATCTTTCTCGTCTTTTATATGTTGTGGGGAACCCTCAAGGCATTTCTCTTTACAGTCTAATTCCCCATCAGACTTATTTGGAGTTGGAGAATCTAATGAATAATAAAATTGTTTTAATTAAAGCTACACCTCTGGTTAGGAGATGCCCTTTAAATTTGGTCGGCACTGGGTGGGGGAGGTGTTTAAGCGTTACCCTCTATTTAATAGACATCTCATTATAAGAGACATTTTTCCTGCCACACAGAGTGTCTTATCGTAAGATCTGTCAAAAGTTTAGCCACGGGCAGGATTCGAACCTTCGACCTCCGTATAGTTATTGTAAGGTGCTTTCGCTCACCACATAAGGAGCTCTACCACTGTGTTACCGGCGCGACTACTAATGCCTTCTTTTTTAACCCCCACCTAAGCGTTTTAAATGGAATAATCCTTACATTATAAAGAGTAGGGTTGGGGGCCCGGTCCGGTCCAATCCGAAAGATCGAGTCGGGCACCGAATTTTGGCCCGAAAGACTCGGTCGGGCCGAAACGAAAACCTGAACCCTAATAAAGAAGTTTTTAATTTATTTTTAAACTTTTTTTTACCTTTTTTAGCAGATAAATATTTAAATCTCATGCTCTTTTTAGTAACATTTTTACTGTCTAATAATGACGGAAAGTCATTTTTGTATTCTTTTTCATCTCCTGTTTCCTCCTTTTTATTCTCAATTTTACCCCAAACTTTTTTTAAACTTTTTGTTTCTTTATCAGATTTTTTAATAAATTGTTCAGGCACTCTTTCACCTCCCTTCGCTTCAATTTGGCCTTCTTTCCCGCTTTTAATTTCGCCTCTAATCCCTCCAAGTTCAACTCCACCTTGTTCAAGTTCACCTCCTTTCCCTTCTCCAACTTTCAATTTTCCTCCTTCAACTTCACTTTTACTCCCCTTAATTTTGCCTCCGCCTCTCTCATCTTCACCACCATTTCCTTCAATTTCACGATAATAACAAATTAATAATAAAAACAAAAGTACAATTTTGTTGGATTTTTTTCGAATCATTTCAAAGAAAAATGATTGAGGCTGAAAGCCTATAATAAGGTGTATGTTAATTAGGGGGTATGGCATAGACAGCCCTCCCCAACATTTTAAAAATACATTAGGGATCTGACTCTACCTTAAAACGAGGTTACGTTAAATAGAGGGGATATAGCTTAGGAAGCTCCCCCACTTGGTGATCAACCAAATCTTATAGAACGTATCCTAAATAGAGGTGTATCCATTATTGGAGGGTGTTTACAATAGAGGTTCTGCTGTATCTTAAACGAAGAGTATGTTAAATAGAAGGTATCGCCTAGGCAGTACCCTCCATCTAATGGACCAAATTTTAAAATAATATCCTTAAAATAGAGGTGTATCCATTAATGGGAGGTGTTTACATTAGAGGTTCGAATATATCTTATACCCAGGTATTTGATATTTTAGAGAGGTATGACTTTTAAAAAATAAATTTTTAAAGGTAAAATAAAAAGAATAAAGCGGGAAAAGTGCAAAAATAGGTATCGCAAAATCCTTAAATATAAAGGGCATTCCTATTAAAGGGCATCTAAAGGGCCCTATTTAAAGGGCATTCTCTAAAAATTAAAAATTAAATTTCAAAATTAAAAAAAATAAAAGGAATGCCCTTTAGCTAAGGGCATTCACTATTATAAAAAAATTAAATGAAGGCGCGTTGAATAACGCCCGCATAGGTAAATAACGCAGGCATAGGTAAACACGTGAATTTTATTGAAAATTTCCTTATGACGCAAACGTGTATATCATTGATTCGATAGGGCTTGATTTTAAAGGAAAACAAAGTTGTGAAATAAGAAGAAGGATTTTGACGAGGGAACGAATTCTTATGCGTTTCTTGAGGAAACTCGAAGTCGAATATTGCAATTCATGTTTTGTTTGTTAAAAGTTGTCTCGACACTCTGCCAATGTAAAGGAGCAACAAACTGTTGTGTCCGCACTTGCAGAAAGAACATAAATGAAAATAAATAACCCATCATCGGGTTGGATGGTGGCACGGTCGGTTGTGCTTCGGTCTGGGCTCATTCCTTGATGGTTCAATTCCATCTCCCATCCGAACAATTTTTCCACAGCATGAACCCCGTATAAAATACAAACTATAATGCTTAGGAACAGAGATAGGACCATGCCATACTAGCGACAGCATCTTTCGGTACTTATTGGTATTCTGTATCTTATTATGGTGCGAAACACGGCAAGGAAAATTTTGAATGTTATCGGTATTCTATACCTTAGTACGGCAGAAAATTTCAATGTTGTGTCCAACTGTATTATGTAGATCCTAAGATGTGACTTGTTATTGAAGAATTACTTAACAGTGTTTCCGTTTTTTATTTTTTATTCTGATTATTTCTGTTCTCAGTGCTTACATAATTCAAAAAAAGCGGTCAGAATTTAATGAGAAATTTAGATAAAGAATTTTTTTATTGAAAATTTTATTAAAAAAATATTTTTTAATTTTCAAAAAATAAATTAAAATAAATTAATTTATCGAAAAAATTCTCAATCCACCCCAGCCCCCTCAACCTCTTCCTCCTTTTCATTTTTAACAACTTCTTCCCCTTCATCAGACTTATCCTCATTTTCCCCACCATCAATTTTATTATCATCCTCAACTTTTTCTCTCTTTTCTTTATTTTCTTCAGCTGGTGGCGGCTTTCTCAAAACATATTTTTTGTTTTGGGCATAATTGCGAATAATTGAGAGAAATGCAACTGTTCGGATTGCCTGAAAAAAAAAGAATTTTTTAATTAAAAAAATGAATTTTTAGGGATATTAGTGGACGAGTTAATTTAAAAAAACTGATAAAGAACTTGTGTAAAAATAGAAAAAAAACTTTTTTGCTCAGGGACCTATACTGGGTATGCTTCGTGATCTAGCTTTAGAGCCGGCTTCGACCAAAACTATAGATTTTAAAAATCCTTGAGCCAAAATTGGAAAACGACCCAATACCTTGTTTTTTAACTTATTCGTGTAAATTTTGCTAATAAATTTAATTTTAAACAAAAAGCCCGTAATGCTGACAAAATTTACATTGAAAAGTTTCGGATGGTCCTAGGCTTTGCAGACCTTCAACAAGAAAAATCAATAAAATTAAAAAAAAGTTACCCAATTTCTCTCAATTTTAACTTAACCCGGGCCACTTTAAAAATTTTTTTGCTTATTATTTTAGGTAAATTCTTATCCTAATTTCCTATCCTAAAAAATAAAAAAAATTCCAAAACTTACATGAACAACAATTAACAAATCAGGCATAGTCAAATTAACTTTACTTCCTTTAGATTGTTCATTCATTAAAGCAACAACTTCATCATAAACTGGTTGTCTTTCAATTGCTTGAGTATTTCTAGCTTTAAAATCAATTGCATAACAAGGTGGAAAATCAAATTCTTTTGAAAATTTTTCCAAATGTTTTGAAAGCATTCCACTAAGAGATGACAAAATTTGTGGCATACTAGCATAACAAGTCTCTTCTATTGGAATTACCTTTAAGAAAAAAAAATTTTTTTAATCATGGAAAGGTCAAAAATTAGGTACTTTTTTATATTCCCTTCACCAGGGATCTAGCCTACCCGATTTCCGAAAATCGGAAATTGAATTTTTATGTCGGCTAGATTCCTACCTTCCACACACTTTTTATAAAACTTTAAAACAGCAAATTAACACTCTATCCCTGATAAAACAGGCATCTTAAAACTAGAAAAAAATTTTTTTTGCCTTCTTTCAGATTTAACCCATCTCAAAAACTATCTGAAATTTTCTTCTTAAGATTTTACTAGTATCCATGGGCAATAAAAATTTTGATTAATAGAGGGAGCGAGAAGGGAATAAAATGTCTTTCTAGGCCCCTTCTTTTCCTACCCGTTTTACTCTCAAAAAAATAAAAGTAGTTGAACCATTCTGAAAATTTGAAGGAAAAACTTGGGAAGGAAAAAGGGACCATAAACCATACTTTAAACAAGAGCGGTTTTCAAAATTACCCAGAAGAATACTTAAAAGAAAACCTTAGCCAAAAAACGAGTTTGAGCCTCATCTTCCAAACACAATTTAACCATCTTTTCAGCAATTGAATAAACATTTTCAGGCGTAATTTGAGGAGAAATGAAGAAAAGTGTGTTGCGTGCTTTTGTTTCCAATTGTCGAAGAGCTGATTTGTGTCCACGTTTATATTGATGACAGGCTGATTTTAATGAATCGGAAATGTCTTCAGACTTCTCTGTTGTTTCTGTTGATACTTGCTGAAAAAAGTAAAGGGATAGGGATCATTGGATGGGATCATGGACAAGGGCGTAGCTGGGGGGTCGATTTCAAGGGGGCTAAAATTGGGTGTGCGCCAAAATTTTGGCGTTTGCTAGGCCCTTGATCATGTATTTTTTTTAGATTTCTAGAGGTTTTTTGAAGGCCTCTTAGCCTTCAAGATTCAAAAAATTCACGCCTGTGCTGCTAAAACTTCGGCGCAGAAAAATTCTCCCCTCTTGCCCACCCCCGAAAAAAATCCTGGTTATGAGCCGACTTTGGGTATTGTGACTTATAGGGGGTTTTTTTTGGCTGGACCGATTGCTCGACGAGTTGAGTCGAATGAGCTATTATTTCCGTTTTCGCATTTTTCACCCCTAATTAAGCTTACTCCCCCCTTCTCTTTTTCAAACTTCGGGGGTCTGTATCTCGGTCCCTGATTGTCGGATCGACTCCACTCGCCCCTCAATCGACTCAGCTCGTCGAGCTCTTTCGAATGACACCTCATTTGTCCAAATCGGTCCAGCCAAAAAAAACCCCTATAAGTCACAACATTCCCGACTTTGTCTATGATCCATCTAAAATGTGTTTCGAAACGGACGGCATTTGACTTATTGTGAACGGTATTTTGTCGGACGGTGTCTTGTTCTAATATGGAAAATTTAAAGAAACCTTTTCTGTTGTCAAATTTGAAGTTTCCTCTTCCAAAAAACGGTCAATCAAATTTTTAGCTTCCGGAACAGCCCTCTGTTCATTTTCTGCAGTAAAGAAAAGGCCACAGAGTCCTGGAGTAATTGCATTTTTTTGAGACGAAGGTCCGGCATTTGAACGAAAATAAGGTTTACGATGATACAGTAGTCGACAAAAAGATAGGGACAAACACAAGTGTAATGGAAATCACCTATTTTCTCGGTTAAAAATCAATTTTAGGAAAACTTTTTTATTTGATTAAATACTCCATTTAATTCTCTATTTAATAAGTAGAAAATTTGCCTGGTTAAAATTTTATAAAATCCAAACATTATTAAAAAACAAAAGATATGCTATTTTAAGCGCGACAAAAAGATAGGGACAAGTCTTGTAACAAAGTTTTCATAAAAGCAAAAAATCTACAAAAATTTGTGGAAGCATATTGATCGATACTAAGAAGAAATAAAAAAGAACTAGGTCCATATCTCATTTCAATATCGAGATCTCGGAACCCTAAAAACACGGGTAAAACAGGGGTTTTCAACTTCAAAAAATATTTTCGACCCCTTATGGATTTTCTAAAATTTTTATTTTGAGCCCATTCGATAGCCCTTGAAATTTGCTATAAACTAGCCAAATTTCATTCTTCAAAAAAATTTCACTCCCGAGATAAAGGACGACGATTCACCAAAATGCCGTTTAAGAAGCAATTTATGGGGCGTTTGCTGTTTTTTGTGACGTTAGCCTCTACAGCTAACGAAATGTTTTTTTCTCAAAAATGAAATTTGGCTAGTTTATAGCAAATTTCAAGGGCTATCGAATGGGCTTAAAATAAAAATTTTAGAAAATCCATAAGGGGTCGAAAATATTTTTTGAAGTTGAAAACCCCTGTTTTACGTTGATTTTCGGGGTATTGAGATCTCGACAATAAAACGAGATATGGGCCTAGTTCTTTTTTATTTTATCTTAGTATCGATCAGTATGTTCGCACGAATTTTTATAAATTTTTTGGTTGAGTGAATAATTAGTTACAAGACTTGTCCCTATCTTTTTGTCGGGCTGAAATTTGCATAACTTTTTTAGTTAAATTATTTCAGTATTTCAAAAAATAATAATCCGGTAGATCTTATACTCATTAAATAGAGCATTAAATGGAGTATTTAATTAAACAAAAAAATTTTTCCTGAAATCGATTTTTAGTTGAGATAATAGGCGATTTTCGTTTCACATGCGTTTGTCCCTATCTTTTTGTCGACTACTGTAATTTGAAGACATTTTTAATTAAATTTTAACTGAAAAAAGTAAAGAAAACAAAAGACGGATCAGACAAGACTTCTCGGATTAATACGGGCCGGAAATAATCCGGAGATCTATATACCTAACTCCGGAAAAATCCAGCCGGATCCGGTCGGACATTATTTAAAAAAATGAAGTTTGATATTATGAAAAATAGATATTTTGAAATTTTTCCTTAAAAAATATTTCAAAGTGTTAAATTATGCAAAATGCAGATTGGACATTTCACCGTCTGGACAATTCACTTACCTTTTCATTTCCTAGTAAGACACGTCACCATTTAGTCAATTCACATAAATTTTTGCGTGTAATTGTCGTCAAGACTGGACGGAAAATTCAAAAATTTTCAGCAGCCGCAAGTCCGAAAATTACGTAATTTTCACAGTTCCCATTTGCGTCCGTCGTTCTTGCCTAAATTTCTAATTTAACCAATTTCAGGGTTTCTTTAAAGCCTGTGTGTGTTTGAAAACACTTCTAGAGGACAACAAATGTTAATTCACAACGGCTACAAATATATTCGCGAATATTCACGAGGTCTCAACACTTATTGGTGTTGTAAAGAATTTAGGACCAAAATCAAATGCCGTGGAAGGTCAAAAACTGTTGGCAACCAAGTAATCGAAACACAACCACATACTTGTATTCCATCATCTTCTGTCGAGGAACTTCTTAATGGAAGCTATATTGTTCAAAAACCTCAAGTTTGTAATACATTACCCAGTGATGTTGAGAGGGAATCCATCGCAGGTTTTTAATTTTTTGGTGGAGGGTAAGGGTCATGTTTTTAGTCTTCCCAGAGATTCCATTATATTTGCGTTTGGCATTTTATTAATCGAAAATTTATTGACCAAGATTTTTCACATAAAAATGCGAGAAACTTGGTTGTTGTTGAGAGGTTAATTTTCGGATGTGGCGGCTCAAATGTCCTTTAATCTTCCTAATTGACTGAATAATTGGTGGAAACATCCCGTGATAAGTCCAAGACCCCCGAGCTTTGAATCGAAATGCTTCTCGATAGGGATTTTTGGAACGAATTCAAACGGAACACAAATCTAACCTTTACTTTTTTCATAAAATAAAATTTAGGAGCCTCAAACACATCCGTCTCCTCACCTCCAAAAATTGTTTCTTCCTTCTCCCCTATTCAAAAAAAGCCTATAAAGAAAGAAGTATTGAACAGGCCCAACAGAAAATGTCCAAAACCGTCTCCCTCAGAGATTTTTACAACAACTACAAGAGGAAATCAAATGCTAGTTCACAAAGGTTATCGCTACATAAAAGATTATGGCAAAGCTGGGACAATTTATTGGGCATGTAAAGAATACAAGACGAATGAAAAATGTCCTGGACGGGCAAAAACTGTGGACAACGACGTTTTCGTTACTCAACCACATTCTTGTGTTCCGTCGCTTACTCTTATTGAAGCTACTAGAATTCGGAACAATATTTTACAAGCTGCAAAAACTTCGAAGGAGTCGCCCAAAGCTGTTATTAATGAGTGCCTTGCAGGTTATTTTTGTTAAATTAAGGGGATTTGACGGAAAGGACATTTTACGGATTACGCTGAAACTTGGGACAATTCACCGAATTTTGCAAAAATGTCAAGTTATTGTTAGAGTAGTGGGTGGACGCCCGTAACCGGATTCTTTTCGGTGGGGCAAGGGGTTAGTTGCACACCCGGTTAATTCTTGCCTGTGGCGTCTCAATAGAAGAATAAGAGCAGGTGAACCGTTACGGGCAAAAATTTAGCCGTCACATCCAACACTAACTTAGGGAGGGCAAATACGATTTAAGGTCCTTTCGGTGAACAGCTAATTCCCTCAACCTTCTTTTGGATGTCTCGCTTCTTAAAATCTCCCCCATCCTTCTCCTATGTCATTTTCTAAAATGTTCATTTTTAGGGGCATCTGATGCAGTCATTGCCACACTTCCAAAAATTTCTTCATTAGCAACTACAATTAAGAGAAAACGGAGACTGCAGGGTCTGCCTGACAACCCTCGCTCTCGCTCAGAAATTATAATTCATGAAGACTATCGAAAAACAAAAACTCTATTGAAAGAAGAATTTGTTTTGCTGGATACGGGTGCTGAAGATCCAGAGCGTTTAATTATTTTTGCTTCTTCTACGGATTTGGACCGTCTTTCAAGATGTGGGACTTGGCTAGCTGATAGTTCTTTCAAATCTGGTTCTGGTGCATTTTACCATTTTTGGGTGTTGTACGGGTTGTATTGGTAATCAACTTTATTTTTTATTGGGACTGACCTCTTTGGGAGTGGGTTTAGGATTATGAATTGATCACCTAGAAATATAAAATTTTGCAAAAAACATCCATCATGTGTTCTGTTATGGTCTCCAAAAGTTTTTCAGTTTTTCTATAAGGTATGGGTCTTCCCGCATTTTAAAAAGTGGAGGGCTGAACACGGAAAGGTAGAAAGGCAAAATTCTGCAGAAGTGTAAGCGGGAGACAGTCCATCCCCTTCTATTATATGTCAGTTTTGCCCCATCCCCTCTTCTCCCAAAATTCTCTAAACGCCCAAACTATTACCTTTCTTATTTTATTCAAATTTAGGAATCGAGTAGTTCCATTTGTTTATTGCCTTATCCCCAACAAATCTGAAGAAATTTATAAACGTGCTTTAACTTGTGTTTTAAATTCAATTGGCGAGCGCCGTCCAATGATGTTTATTATTGATTTTGAAAAATCTGTTGAAAATGTTATTCGAGCTTTAATTCCTCAAACACACGTTGCTGGTTGTTGGTTTCATTTTAATCAGGTTTCTTTTTTGAAAAACAAATTTTTAAATTATAATTTAAGTCAATATGGCAATCAATCCAAAATCTTGGCTTGAATACACGTTTTGATCAAGAACCTGAATATGCTTTGGCTTTAAAGAAATTTTCGGTTCTGGCACTGTCTGATGTTCAGGTTTATTTTTGTTAAAAATTTAAAAGTTTTTTTGGGGTTGATTGATTTTTGAGTCCATTTTGTCTAGTTTTTTGAGGTTGATTTTTAGTGAGGTTTGGATGAGACTGACAAGGGTGGACCAAATTTAGGAAAAAAGTCTGGGTCGTGTTTCAGGGTCCACCCCAGAAGATCAAAACCCAGAAGGTTTTGGGTTTGACATTTTGGGTAATTAGACCATCTTGGTTGATCCCAAGTTTCAGACCAATTTTCAAAAATTTTTTTGAATCGGGTTCCGTGTCAGAAAAAAAGTCTGGGTTTTTCGGTTGGGTTAGTTAATAAGGATTTAAAAAATAACCTTCATGGGAATAGCGGGAGGGGAGTTTTAAAATTGCTGCCCCAGACCTACACACTCTTGAAATCTTAACTGGCCAATTTTCATAAATTCAAAAAAAATTTTTTTCTTACATCCTTTATGAAGGATTCGGTCTTTAAAAATTGGCAAATATTCTCCATTTTATTATAAATTTTCTCTTAAATTTCTAGAATGTATTCCAACGCTTTGAGCATCTTGCTGATCACTTTCTACAGCAATTTGGCGACACTGAACCTCACCAAGATTTTATCGAAAATTTAGAAAATATGTTTATTGGACGTCCTCGACGATCTCCTCTCTTTCCTATTGAAATGTGGAATTCAAAATATATTACAGAATTTCAATTACCTTCAACTAAAAATTCTGTGGAATTTTGGCATAGAAATTTACAAAATATTTGGTCAAGTCTTCGACAAAATTTCTTTCGTTTTTTGGTTAGAATATTGAATGAAAACGAAAAGGTTGATGTTCTATGTTCAAAATTGGATGCTGGAGAGGAGGTTATTTGTTAATTTTTGGAAATGGGTTAGGTTGTCCTTGCATTTCTGTTTTATTTATTCTTGGTGGATATTTGGACTTGGGGCATATTTGAGTCAGGACTTATTTGACCGTAGAGATCGGAACGGGTCGGTCCCGGTTTTCGGGTCCCTTTTCCAGGGTTTTTTTGAAGCAACCGGGAACGGGAATTCCCGGTCCGGGTCCCTCCCGGTCAACTTTCAGAACCCGTTTCCCGGTTCATGGACCCGGTTTTTTTACTTTTGAAAAAATTTCAAAAAATTTTTTTCTTCAGGTCTCAGTCTATTCAAAAGTTGAATATAAACAAGCAAATCAACGTTTGTTGGAAATTATACAGAATTATTCCAATTTAAATGAAAATGATTATTTTGCCCAATGTGTTAATTTTGTTTATTTTACTTGAATTTTTTTGGCTGAATTTTTTTCTCAAATTTTTATTTTTTCAATTGACTAATCTATTGTTTTTCTTGGTTCATTCATTTAAGGATAAAATTTTATTTATTTTTTTTCTTTTTTCAAAAATGAGTTAAAAATTAATTTTAACCAATATTTTTTAATCTTTTTTTATTTCGCTAAAAACATTTTTTACTGTTCACTTATGTTTAATTAATCTTAATTGGATGTCGGAACGGGACAGGATTTAAGTGACCTTGACCCGAAATCCCGGTTTTAAGCGATGAACGGGATTAATCCCGCGGGATCCTGTTTCGTTCAACCTTTTGGAAAAACCCCGGTAGTTTTTCTCAATTTATGCGATACCTTCCACAAATCACCGAGGGACCTGGTAGATCCCTATACCAATTCATTCGACAGTGCGTGGATTAAAAGTGATATGTAATAGAATTTGGGGGCACATACTGATAACAAGGTGCGGAGAGATTAAATGGAATATAGAGGTGTGGGCGTGATATCGAGGGATTTGTAGGGATATCGGTCGTAAGAGACCGAGTGGTGTAGGGATATGGGAGGTATCGAGGGGAGTGGGTGGTATCGAGGTATATTGATCCAAATCCCCATTAATCCCCCGATTCTCTCCAGATCCTCTTATTCCCTATAAAATCCCGAAACTCCGCGGGATCTGGTAAATTAGAGAACGGGATTTACGTGTTTACTCCCGATCAATCCTGCCCCTATGAACTTTTGAAAAAATCCCGTTACAAGTTCCTGGGAATTCGATTTTACCGGCCTCTAGTTTTAATCCCGTTTTAAAAATTTGTTTTTCTCAATTTTCGATGGTTTTTGTCTTTGTTTGATTTTTTGATTTATCTTTCTCGTTAATTTTGTTTTCTTTATGCAAGCTTGGGATTAATTTTTATTTTCATAAACCATAACAAAAGGCATTTAGACCGATATGAAATAAATACCTAGTCAAATTTAAACGAATTTTAATAAATTTTGGCGTTTTGTTTATATTTTATTTAAATGACATTTGATCCTAAATAACTTTTACTCTCTCTGCCACTACTCTTTTTCCTTTGTTTCTCGCTAACCTACCGTCACATTTTTTAACCATTCTTTGTTTTCCTTTTCATATTTAGTGATTGTTTTTAATTTTAAATTTATCGTGTTTTCGTTATTTTCCTTTAAGATTGTTTTAAAAATACTTAAAAAACTTTTCAAAAAATTATTTATTTATTGTTTTTTGATGGAACTGATTTTTTTGGATTATTTTTTGATTTTGATTAAACAAATGATGCTTAAATGTGAAGAAGGGTTTAATTGGATGAAGAAAGGTTTAATTTTTATTTCCTTTTTTTTTTAAATTTTGTCTGGATAAAGTACTCAGATATTTGGTAGGCGGGTTAAGTCAGTTTTTCTTAGGTACTTGAAGTCCTGACTTTTCGACCTGAAAATCTACCCGAAAAAATTTTGGAACAATCCTAGTTTTTCACAACCCGGGCCATCTCTGGATTAAGGTTCGGTTTGTGTGACCCCGTTTTTCTTATTTTTTCATCTCCCTGGAAAAACACTTCCACATTCTTTTAAGGAGATGGAAAATGTGAAGGTAGTGCTTTTTCGGTATTTTACAAGTTTGCCGGTAGGTAATTAAGTGTGATGAGCCAAATATGAGTTCAGATTGTGGGTACCTACAGGTTATCCCGAACCAGTTTTGCGGACAATTTATGCGGACATTTAGGTACAGAACGATCAGATATTCTTCCCTCCTCAATTTCACTCTCCTGCGGCCTTTCTATATGTCTCACATTAAAAATGCCACAGGGAAGAAATTGAGTGAAATGATGAAGAACATTGAGTAAGATGCATGAGTCCGCATAAATTGTCCGCAAAACTGGTTCGGGATAACCCATAAGTACCCTATTGTGAATCCAGTATACAAAGTTAGACCAGGTCAGATTCGGTTAGAAACTAGAAGATAACTAGGGCTAAACTGACACTTCTTTTTTGAGCTTCAATTCGTGTTAGTGATTTGAAAATAAATAAAATTTGACACAATACGAACTCAGCACACTTCATTACCTACAGACAAAACTCTAAAATATTGAAAAGCGTTTCTTCCTAATCTTTCTAGGGAAAAGAAAAATTCGAAAAAAGGGGCGCATAAACCACACCTTTATCATATCTCCAAAAGTAGTCAAGTAGTATAAATCCAAATTGCGTTTTCTGAACCTGAGTCCACGTTGTATACAATCTCAAAAATTTTTGCCTTCAATTAAACAAATTGTAAAGCGGTAGAACCGACAGACCCCTCTTTTCCTCCCTAATTTTTTCCTATATTTATCAAAAATGGTTAGATTTTTTCCTTTCTTCCATTAAATTGCCTTTCTAATTTTTGCCTACAATCAAACAAAAAGGATTATTTAATTTTTTACAAGTGCCAAAAACAAGTATAAGGAAGAAAAATATAGGGGAAAAATGGGGAGGGGGTGGAAAGGAGGTCTGTCCTGTTCAATATTACCGAAAAGCGTTTTCACGGATATTATCGGGAAATTGAATAATAGGAAAATTATGGGAGATTGCCTCAAAGAAAAGTGACTGAGACCGTAAAAACAAAAATATTTTCTAGCATATTAAAACATTTTTTAAAATTAAACAGAAAAACTTGATCAAATTTTTGAATCATTCTCAAATTTATTTTTGATGTCTGTTTTAATGTTGAATTTTATTTCTCTTGGATCTTGTTTTAACTTTTACAACATTCTGCTTGGATTGGTATGTTTTTCTTTTAAAACCCCAAAAATTAATTTGTTTATCCATTTTTAGATCTTTTCTGTTATTTTGATTTGGCTGATTATTAAATGGATGATCAATGGTAGAACTTTAAAAGTTGCAAATAACGAGCTTATTCAATTAATTGTTTTAACTGCAAATATTGTTGCAAGAAAAGTATTTTAGATTAAAAATTAAATACAAAAATAAATTTATATTTAGGCACTTGATGATTTTTCCTTCTTTTTTGGTTATTTAACACAATCAAAAGTTGATCAAAAATTAAATGTTTCTTGTGGGGATTATGGAATGAAAAATAAAGGTTTTAATTTTACTTTTTCCAATATTTTTCGGCAGCTGAGAGGAATGAATGGGTTGAGTTTCCCGAAACCTATACGTTTTTCAACCCCAACCCCGATTTTATACTTTTTTTCAGCCCGGAAAACCCTACTAGGAAATTGATAATAAAGGTACAATAGTAGATGGTATTGAGTAAGGGCGTAGCCAGAGGGGTTTAATGTGACTATAGCCTTAAATGGGGAAACAAAAAATTTTGGGAGTTAAAATCCCCAAAATTCTCAAAATTTTCGCCTCCGGCACAGAAAATATCAAAAAAATTTGCATTCGTAAAGTCAAAGTAAACGCCAAAATTTTGGTACACCCGATTCTAGCCCCTCCTGAAATCGACCTCTTGCTTTACCCTTAATATCGATGACTCTTTAGGAAAAGATTTAAGAATTACTGTAAAATTAGGAATAACTTGAAAAATTTTTTTGTTAAAATTGGGTATCATTTTTTAATAAGCATTAATTTTTCAAATTATTTTTCCTTAATTTTGGTTTGTTACTCAAAAATTGCGCGCTTTTTTATTTAGTTAATCTCCTTTTAAATTTAGCTTATATAAAAAACAACCTTACTATGGCCAATTTTTACGTGCAAATTTATATATTATTAATGATAATTGTTCCGGTAAATGCTTGGAATAGAACCTACTCTGCTTTGGATATTTTATATTATTGTGGTGTATTTATTATTGTTATTTTACTCATCATTATCTTTGCATTTTTGTTTGTTTTTATTGTTTATGGGATCGTGCTGGTCTTCATATTTCTTCAACAAAAACAACAACATCAACCTAATATTGTTAAAAATAAAATTTCAACAGAAGAAGAACGAGTCGAAAGAACTCAATCAACAACACTTGAGGTTTTATTTTAAACATTTTTTCGGTACTTATTGGTTATCCCAAAGTAGTTTTTGCGGACATTTTATGCGGACTCATTTTTGCATGGAATGGTTTGCATGGACCAATAAGTACCATTTTTTCTAGTATTTTTTGATTGCGAAATTGCGGGCCTGCACTTGCAGACCGACTTCATTTTGAAATATACTCTTATTTAGCGTTTTAAAAACGAATGTGAAAAAGTTAAACATTTAACAAGGAATCAGTGCAGGTCCGCAAATGTCTTTCGGAATTCAAATAGGTATTTCATGTCCTTACTAGAATACTATTTTAACTTGTATTCTTTCAAATTGAGTAAGAAAAATAGGCGGGACTTGATGGTTTTTAGGGCAAAGTTTCCGGACTTTTTTAGTCGAATAAGTTTGTGGTGAAATGGAAAATGGAAATATCTAGGCCAAAATAGAAACTGCATAAGTTCCGAAAATCTGTCACCATAGTGGAATTTTTATCAAATTTTTTGGAATTTTTATTAAATATTTTTCCGAAAGTTTCAAATTAGGATAGGTGTTGTTGTTAAGGGTATGAAATATGAAAAATCAGAATTTATTTATCTATTTGCTTTTAATCTTTTTTATTTTAGCTTGAAGTTGTTGATGAAATACAAGAATCAAAATCTGACAGTGGAGGTGAGTTTTTAAATTTTATGCTAATTATATTAGAGACCGGAGTAGGAGGTTGTATGAGAATCAAGATCTCGAAAAAAAATAATTGTCGTACGAGATTTTTCGAAAAGTTGATAACCAAGATTTTTGGGCTCTATTACACAATATACGTCCAATCAACTATTATGCGTCCAATCAACTTTTATACGCCCAATCAAATTTTATACGTCCAATGAAAATTTATGCGTCAATTAATTATTTATGCGTCCAATCAAATTTGTACGTCAAAGTACATTTTTATCCAACGGAAAGAATCGTAGTACCTGCGGCTACATTATTTGCTATAATTGGAAGAAGTGTATAAGCTGTTATATCAGCAATACGGAAGAAACGGACTTTATTAGTTCCTGTTCGGCCATGCCAAAAACCCATTCGTATTGACGGATTAACATATTTGTATTATACTTAGCGTGAAACAATTTTGACTCATTAACTTCTACCAGCGACCTAGTGTTATGTCCGAGGTTGTACGAAAGTCGACGTGCAATGATTAACAGTTTATCCAAAGAGAAATAACAATATGTAGGCGAAGGGATAGGGCTGGTCAGGCGAAGGAGATCAGGGACTAGCCGGGCTAGTATGATCCAATTAGACTGACGCTTACAGTGGCTTTTATAGAAGTGTCACCACTACACAACACCTAGTATTGTGTTAACTTGAACTCTTGTTGCGCATCCCTGACAGAGGTCTCGAAGAAACTTATAATAATTCACGAAAGTATTAGAAGATATTAGGTTAGTACCGGCTTGAACGGTAGCGAGTTTACTTGTTGGGTGGGTACACCAGTAATAAGCGACACACATTGCTTTCGTTTCCTAAATTATTTCTAAATGAATCTCTGTTAGCCCTTGAGCAGCTTTGCAAGCTTTTGAGCAAGAATTTATTTTTTACTGGACGAATAAAATATATTTGGACGCATAAACTTTGATTGGACGTATAAATTTTCATTGGACGCATAAAATTTTCATTGAACGTATAAAATTTGATTGGACGTATAAAAGTTGATTGGACGCATAATAGTTGATTGGACGTATATTGTGTAATAGAGCCGATTTTTGTTCGAGATCTCGGTCGGTTTCTAATTAGCATATTTTTAAATTAAATGATTTTTTGGAATAAAAATAAAATCATTAGGAAATTAGTGAACCCCTTCTAGTTTTCCCATCTTGCTTATACGTTCAAAGGACCGGCTGAGTTCTATAACAGGGTTCTATATATATTGGGATCTTTCGGTTAACCTGCAAAAGGTTGAATAATTCATAATAATCTTACTGCAAATGTTTTTCTTTTCTCTCTACCCCCTTTGGCATTAAAAATTTGAGAAAGAGAGAATAATTTTAATGTAAAAATGAAGGATTTAAGCAAAATTTTTCTAAAGCTGGGAAATTTTTTCTAAAATTCTCGGGATAAAAAAACCTTGCTGAAGAGTTATTAAAATGACATAGGCTGAAAAAATTCGTGATTTAAACAAAAGTTACTATGTTTTTTATTCATAATTAACTTGTTAAAAATTTTATACATATTAGAGCTGAAGGGAGCTATTTAGAGAGAAAAGGAGGCAATCCAGGAGAATTGGGGTTTCTTCGAAAAAAATTTTTAAAAATCAGAAAATGGATTTTTCTAGGGTAAAAAAATATGCTGATTACGAATATGAGCTCGGATTTTGAAAAAGTCGAATCCCGAACCCGAAGTCGGACATTCGACATTTTGGGAAAAATTTCACAGAGCGCAAATTCGTCAAATAATAGCTCATTCGAAAGAGCTCGACGAGCTGAGTCTAATGACACCAAAATCACCGTGAATGAACAAGAACTGACAAAGTTACAACACAAAAAACATAGGTTTACGTTGTTTGTTTTTTGTGTCATAACTTCGCCAGATCTTTTTCAATCACGGTGATTTTGGTGTCATTAGACTCAGCTCGTCGAGCTCTTTCGAATGAGCTATTATTTGTATATTCGAATTTTTCACCCCAGAATCAGCTTGGTCCCCCCTATGGTTTTTCGATTTTGTAAGACCTATATTCGGGTCCGGGTACGACTTTTTCAAAATCCGAGCTCATATTCGTAATTAGCACATTTTTTTACCCTAGAAAAATCCATTTTCTGATTTTTAAAAATTTTTTTCGAAGAAACCCCAATTCTCCTGGATTGCCGAAAAGGAAAATCTGCAGGAAATTAATTTCCTATTTATCTTGTTGCGGATAAAATTTGCGGACTTTTGCAGAATAACCGAAAGTATCGATATATTTTTTTGCGGTTATATTCTTAACTTTTTAAATAAAGCGAAGATTCTATAAAAATTTTATTTTTACAGAAGAGGAATTTCATTCAGCCAAAAATTTTTTTGATTTAACTGAAGAAAATGAAAATTTAAACAATGAAGGAAAAAAATTAAATGAAAATGATGATGCTGGAATGGTAAAAATCGAATTATTTAAATCTTAAAAGCCTGATCCCCGACAACTTCTTGTCGAAATCAGGGACAGGCACATAACCATTGGGTTACTTATTTACTCCTTCCCAGTTAAATTTTTTAGTAGATATGTAAAAAGGTCTGTGATAGATCATAGAACTCGTCGAGTAGTGTGGAATCACACCAAAATCAACCCCAGGTCCTAACTTTGGGCCGAGATGGAACAAAAACCAAGAGCGATGAGCAGGCTTTGCACAAGCGTCTCTCCGACTCCAATAGGATTACTTTATCATTACTTTGTCAAATTCTGTTCAATCACGTTGAATTTGGTGTCATTCGACTCAGATCGACGTGCCCTATTTCGAATGAGCTAACATTTGTTTAAACGAATTTTTTACTGGAAATAAGCTTGATCCCTCTGTTGTTTTTCAGTTTTCGGGGTTTAGTATCTTGGTCCAAAGTTAAGTCCGGGGGCGGATTTTGGTGTCATTCGACACAGCTCGACAAGTTTATAATCTATTAGTGACTGACCATTTTTATATAAATATGTAGGTATTTATCAAAAAAATTGACGGTGGGGGGGGGGGGGGGTAAATAATTACAGCCATGGGTACTTTCTAACTTTAAAATCAAGTTTTGAACTATATTTTTTCATTTTTAGAAGCAGGAAATTTTTAATGATGATACATCTGAATCATCATGTGACGGTAAAACATTTTTATTTTTTACTTCTATAATTAAATTCGTAATTTTTCTGAATGAAAAATAAGATTTTGTGTCGATATTGAGAATCCAAGTTTCCGAAACTGAAATTTGCTTGGCGTAAAATGCCTATTGAAAATCGTTTCCGTAAAATCCCTATTGAAACTCGGGAACTATCTAAAATGCCTACTGACAATTTTGTAGGATTTTTGTTTAAGGGGTTTTCCACATTCTTAACATTATCATATTTTGCCTAATTTTGAGGCTAATAGAATTCACCCTAGGCGAGGTAGAAAGAAAAAATCGGTTTTTTTTTCTCTTGCTCAAACTAGAAATTTTTACACGTGGGCTAAAAGTGCTTTTGGCTTAATCTTAATAAATTTAATAATTTTGCCTACACTTTAAAATTGAATTTTAATAATTTTTGACCACTCAAGGTCCTCCCTATATTAAAATGTTAAAAAATTAAATAAAATTTAATATTATACAATTTTATATTTTATAGAGTCATTAAACGAAATGCAGGATTTTGGTGTATTAACTGCAAACAATGAAATTTGTACAACTAGTTCAATGTGTGCTAAGGTAACAAATTAATTTATAATAAATAGTATCAAGGCGATACCGAATAGGTGTGAAAACCAAGGCTAATGGTTACTCGAAAACCTAATTTTTCTTGAAAAGGCGCAGTTTCTAGCGTAATTGTTGATCATTGATATATTAAGTATGGATTGGGGTAATCCTTAAGATCATTGGTCCCTAGGAAAAAATGCTAAAAAGTGCACTTTCGATATTTTTAAGGCTTGCCAGTAGGTAATTGAGTGTGTTGAGTATGAATCTGAGCTTAGAATTTGTTTATTTCGTACCCCGAATCCGAATTCGACCAAGTCGAATATGGGGCAAAAATCCGAAATTTCAAAATTTATGTCTAATCGGACTAGTCTCTTTGAGCTGAGTCGATTGGTATCAAAATTATTACGTTTCGACATCTTTAAACTAAGTTATGGTGTCTGATTTAAACTAAGTTATGGTGTCTGATTTAATACGGAAGTCTAACAAAGCGTGTATTTAATTGAACATAACTCAGTCTGAAGTTGTCGAAACACATTAATTTTGATATCATTCGACTCAGCTTGAAAGGACGCGTCAGAATAGCACTAGCCTAATAGTTTCGAATTTCTACCCCGAGTTCGACTTGGTCGAATTCGGGTTCGGGGTTCGAAATAACCAAATTCTAAGCTCAGATTCAGACTCAGCACACTTGATTACCTACTGGCAAGCCTTAAAAATATCGAAAGAGCACTTTTTGGCAGTTTTACCTAGGGACCAATGATCTTAAGGATTACCGGGATTGGATTTTTAGGTGGTAAACGCCTTAAAATAGATAACTAAATAGGAGTTATAATAGGTATTCAAAATTTTATCTTCGAACTCGCATTTTCAAAATTTTCCTTGTAATATAATCATTAAAAAAAGAGGAATATTATAAAAAAAAAGATTTTTTTTTGGGTTGATAAGAAAAAACGGCAAAATTTTTGAAAGATTATGTTTTTTCAAACATTCTTGAAACTTTCTGATAAAAAATTGTATTTTTACGAAAAATATCGAAAATAGGTGATAAAATACGAAAACAGTTTACAACATATTTAGATTGCAAAGCTCCCAAATAGTAAATCCCTGGTGCTTTAATCACATTCATAGCTTGATTCATTACATCATAGCCCTATTAACCAGAAACTCCTATTAACATCCCACATCCGTTATCAGCCTTAGATATCTTTGATAAGGTTAGATTTGAGTAGCATCCCTATGTCTTCGAAGCAAAGTTCCTGTTAGTATTATTAATTGGTGACAATAACTTCACATAAATACAATATATTTAAAAAATCCACTCACACCATAACTATTTCAGGAAAAATAAGCTATAACCTAAAAATCCAATCCTTAATAATAAGTGTCTCGAATTGGCCACATTTTTTTTCTTCTTTGAGATTTTTTTGTATTTTTGATTGAATGTTTTTTCCTTCCAAAATATTTTAAAACTTATTTAAAAACATTTGGGCATAAAAATTAAAATATCTAACAAAATGAAAATTTTTCTGATTAAAAAATATTTTAGGAAATTTATCAAAACAAAAATTATCTGTTAAAGGATGGAGTCCTAATAACCTCTGCGTATTTAACTTCTGCCGGAGATTCTATACACAACTACAATTTACCGATTGGATTCGTACCTGTGTTGGCTGTTGTTGGTAAAATTTTTATTCAAAATATCTAAAATGTCTGTCCTGTTATCTGCCCGCGTTTCTATTTTTACGTTTAAATTTTAATACGGACATAATGGTCTGCTTTTGTCTCTTTAGGTTCACTTTTCCCTGTGGAGTATGATAAATAGAGCCAGGAATTTTTTGCATTATAAAATGCAAAATAGGCAAGAAAAATCAATTTATACCTAGAAATTTTCCATTTTTAGTCAAAAACATTCAAACACCTATTTTTTAAAGATTACTCCCATTTTAAATGTATAGGTTGAGTATTTTTACGCTATTGGACTTTTTTGATGAGGCGTTTTAGTGGGGACAGAAGACCCACGGACAAAAGACCCACAAGGAAAAATTTTTAATAAAAGTTTAAAAGAACAAGATTGGACAAAGTTACGATACAAAAATCAAACAACATAAACCTATGGGACGTCGGCGAGACGCTTGTGACCCCGCGCTTCGCGCGGGGTTTTGCGGCACGCGTCTCGCAGGGAATCAACGGTCGCTGGGTTCTGGGCTCGTAACTCAATCCTATTCCAAATATCGCTGTGATTGGCATGCCTGGCATCCTCCTCAACAGCAAAACTTCCACGGAGACCATAGGTAATGAGCCAATATGAAACCACAATTGGATAAAAATAAGAAAAATGGTTGTGGGTCTTTTGTCCGTGGGTCTTCTGTCTGTGGGTTTTCTGTCCTTGGGTCTTCTGTCTGTGGGTCTTCTGCGTCGACACGATATGAAAATAGGAACCCCCCTGATGTTTTCAAAACACGTGGAAATTGTTTTTTGTGCATTATACATCATGCCAAGTTTGCTAAAAATATGCATTTGCATAAAAATCCTGGCTCTAATGATAAAAAAGTTTTTATTATATGTATAAAGGGTAAAAATGAATGTCGATCCTAAATGGTGTTAAGCAGTATCGGGGCCCGACCGGCATTGGGCGGTATTATATCGGTTGTTTTGAATCCCAATACTGATTGTGTTGATATCGCAGCGAAAGGTGAATCCCAATACCGGTGTTTAAGGATACGAGCTATTATCTTTATCAATCAAAATCCCATTTCGGTTAATACCGGTTCAAGGTCGGGATCGGTATGATCATTCCAAATTACCGTTAACAATTTCCTCTTTAATACGGTACCGATCGACATTACTTTTAACTGATTGTTTACGATCATTTAACTGAACCGAAACCGAAAACCGTGAGCCATAGGGGGGAGGGGGGGGGGCGGTGGTATAGCTGAATTTTGAGTACATCGAAATACGGGCATATGGCAGGATAGCCTCATTAAACTTATCGGGGTAAAAATATATTGGACCTGGGTTCAAAAATGCAGAACTGTGTACTTATTGCTAGTGACATATGCAATTTTGTTCAAAAAATGCGAATTGGGTAATGGAAAAATGACGGGGTTTGGGGGATTTGGTGGGATATCAGTGAATTTTGAGAACATCGAAATGTAACAGGATAATACTATATAACCTAATTTTAACTTATATTTTATAGATAGTTGAAATCCATTTTTTAGTTAATGATGGAAAGACTACTGGAATGATTCACACTGCGAGAGCAGGATTAACTTCTTTAAAGGAAGCAGAACATTTTTTTGCTCTTGGTACAGAAGACTGGAGAAACTCTTGTTTTAACGCCACACAATTTGCTTTTGAATTTTGTAAAAGAAAATTGATCCCTTGGAATGTGAAGGATGATGAACGATTTTATTTTCTTTATGATCCAGTAAGTTTATTTTTACAGGAAAAAATCTGATTAAATAGCCAATAGTCTACTTAGGGTGGGACTTGTATTTCTTAGATCCTTGTTTAAAAACTATTTAAAGATTACAACATATAAGCATTACATATATGGCTTTAGTTTACTCAAGTTTGGTTTACCATTTTAAACTACCTCTTTTACACATCTAGTTTCTATTTTAAAACGGGTGGATCTATGACATTTGATTCTTTCTTTGAGATGAGCGAATGGTTTACTCACCAAGTACGGAAATGCCGGAGCGGGCCAGTTGAGCCCCGCCGGTTGAGCGCCAGCCGACTTTGATCGGCTATAACTTTTTTTTGCTTGAATCACTCCTAATGATTAATATATCATTCGAAAGTCCTCGATAAGCGGTATCTTTTTTCCAACTGTATGGATCAAGTCTGATCACCGGTTAAAAAGTTACAAGTCGATAAGTGCAGGAAATCGTTGTTTTTCACACTTATCGACTTGTAACTTTTTAACCGGTGATCAGTCTTGATCAATCCAATTGGAAAAAAGATACCGCTTATCGAGGGCTTTCGAATGATATAAAACTTATTTGTATTGGATCAAGGCTTAAAAAGTTATAGCCGATCAAAGTTCTCTGGCGCTCAACCGGCCGCGCTCAACTGACCCCAACCGCGGAAATGCCTATGGGAGGAGATATAGGTTTCTAAAAATTGAAAATTCATAGGCAGGTCCAAGCTGATTTTTGGGGTCAAAAAATCGATTTTTACATAGCTCATTCGAGAGAGCTTGTCGTGCTAAGGCGAATGACACTAGAATTAAGATCGGACTCCTCTATAAGCCGAGCTATTGGCTTAAATGGTAAGAAGTAAGTGTGGGCAAATTTGTTTCCCATTCTCTGCCCTGAAATTCCGGCCTACTTCCGTAGAACAAAAAACAATTATTTTACGAAAATTCAGTTGATCGTAATTTTGTTCAAATCATCGAATCAATCTGAATTTTATCGAGGCGCTCTTACAATATAGCTATTATTTGATTTTCGAATTTTTGCCCCAAAAATGAGCTTACTTCCCCAAGGGTTTTTGAATTTTTGAGGATCTGTATTCCTGTTTACGGGCATTTCCGCACCTGAAGATTGATACGATTCGACTCTGAATCAACTTGTTTTGTTGTGGTTCCTTTACTTAACTACAGACCAATTTATATTTTTATTAGCACTTTTCCCGCAGTTATAATTTAAATTAGTTGGGATTCTCTATTATTTAAAATTTTCACAAATAAAACGAGTTTTAATCACTTTTCAGCCTGACCTTGAACGTAAAGGGAGTAGTGCTGGAATTCCACTTTTGATTGCAGTTTTATCTAAAATTTTGAATAGAAAACCGGCAAATGGTGAAAAATTTTTAAAATATTTTTTCGTTAAAAATAAAATTTCTAGTAAAATTTTTCGATAAATTTTAAATAAGCTAAAAAGCATGGATATAGAGAATTTTCTCCCCTAATTTATCCTTTATTTACAGATATTTGTGCAACTGGAAGAATTACTGATACTGGATTGATGGTTCGGGTTGGTGGTTTAAAAGAGAAGGTATCGTCTCGTTTTGTTGTGTGTCCTTGACTAAACTTTTTTATTTAAGGTGAAAGCTGCCCGAGCATTTGGTTTTACTAAAATTGTGTTGCCGAAAAGTATGGAAGAAGACTTTAATAAAATTAAAGAAAAATATAGAAAAGGAATTACACCAATATACGGAACAAATTTCGAGGATGTTTTTGAGCATTTTTTTCCTCCGTTGCCTCCAACCTAATTTATTTTTTCTTTGCCTTAATATTGTCTCATTATTTAAAAAATTTGATTTAATAAAAATTTGAATTTAAATATTTTTTAGTCATTGGTTTATTAACATTCAATTGTTTTCTTTTATAAAATTGAATTTTTCATTAGTCGACCTTCAAATGATTATAAAAATATTTTAATCTTTACCAGGGGACATTTTACCCCTTTAGGGGGCATTTGCCCCATTTTTGACATTTTCGCCCCCCTTTTCCCCCTTTTCTGCAATGCCACCTTTTTGCTCCCTTTTTGATTTTTTCTGAAAAAGGAAGAAACATGGATAAAGGCCTTCCAAAATCTCTAAATTTTCACTGCAGCGCAAGAAAAAGAAACCTGGCTCTGTGGCCTTCATAAATTGCCGAAAGAAGGAAGAGCATCATCAGTAGGGTTGGTCCCCGTCCCCGAAAGTCCTATCTCCCTATTTCAGATCCTAATTTACTCAATTCAGTTAAAACTAGTTAAAAATATATAGTGGTCAACCATGAGTTTTATCGTGCATGACTCGTTTGCTTCCTCCACGAGTGACACATCATAATTTGGCTAGATTTCATTCACCTAATTATTTTCAAGTTTTTTAAGGTTAATAAGTATTTTTAAATCTTTGTAGAGGATTGGTATCAATTTTATTAAATTGGAGGGTTTATTTAGTTATTTTTTTAAATTTATTTTGCGTTTAAAAACAGTCCTTTTACATTGTTTTTGAACCAATTTGGTTTGTTAAAAAATTAATTTCCCTGAGAATTATCGAGCCCATGACTCCCGATATTTGATTGTTAAGAAAAATATTGCTAACTTACTCAAATACATACTTCAAATAAAGTACAAATGAGAACCCTGCTATTGAGGTTTATTTTTAATTTGAAATTTAGAGAGTTTTTGTTATTGAAGGGAGTTTGCTAGTCTAACCTAGGATCAAATTTCAACAAATAATATTTTTGCGGACAAAACCTGCGGACACTTATTTGAAAAAATATAAACCCAGAGACCCAGACCACTGTTATGCAGCGTTCAGTCGGAATTCCGATCTCTGCCTTCCAATTTTCGAATCTCCGATGTTCATAAGCAAGGTTCGTTTTGCTGCATGCAGTTATTACCTCATTATCTAACCATTACTCAAATCTAAGTAAATTTGACCATTTTAAAATTGTAGCCAGGCTGAATTTTGAGAAAAAACGGATATATCCGCAGATGGATATGACTCAAAAGTTAGACGGATACAAACGGATACGGATATTGACCCTACGGATATATCCGGATACGGATAGCAAAATCAGTATCCATGACCAGGTCTACTTAAAACTAGGGCCTGACAAACAGTGATGTCTAGGGTGAGTCAAAATATGACAGAAAATCCCAAAATATGCGCATATATATGCACCGAAAAAGGCCTAAATATGCACTAAAATAAACAAAATTTTCCAAAATATGCACTAGATATGCAGCAAAAAACAGTAAAGTTGTGCTTCAAAAATTCATATTTTAAGTAAAAACGATAATTTAGGCTTTAAAATAGCAATTTAGAGCACTTTTAAAAGACTTTACGAACTTTAAATTTATGAAAAAAATTCTCTGAAACAAATTTTCCAGAAATATTTTTCGAAAAAATTTTCCACAAAACTTTTCTAAAAAAAATTTTTGAATTAATTTTATAATATACCAAAAAATAATTTTTTAATTACAAATTTCTAAAAAAATGCCAAAATATTAGTGTTTCACCGGAACCGAAATTTTGACCGAAACCGGAACCGGAACCGGATCCAATTTAAGTTCCGGTTTCCGGAACCGGAACCGGAACTTCTCTAAGTTCCGGCCCGGAACCGGAACCGGAACTTTAAAAAAATTTTTGCTGCAAATTAAAAAAAAATTCTATTTTAAGTAGGGGTGTAGGTTTCCCCAAATACTTAGATTAAATTCTGCCACATTCTTCGGTTAATCGAAACAGAGCCGAATAACCGAACCGAAACTGACCCTAAAACCCGAACAAAACTACCCAAATCCCCTGATATGCTCGATACCCCACCAATTTCATGATATTATTTGATCTCCAAATTTCTTCAAATTATCCTTAATCCCACCAGATCCCTAAATGGCAGATCACTTATATATCATTATAACTATTGATACATCGAAGCCCCCAATATCACTCCAAATCTTCATTAATCCATGCAAATTCTCAATAATACTCTATTCTTCCTTCCATTTAGCGCCGCAGGCAAAAATTTTGTGAATTTAGGAAGGCCAAGTGAGAAATGCCAAGTTTTGGAAGGCCAAATCCCCAGCTATCCAATCTCTGATATCTACCTTGCACAGCTGTATCCCTCGACATCACACCCAAATCCCTCTAAATATAATACCTATGACCCCTTGAAAGCACATGATGTAACTCAAAATCCACATCCATCCAAATCCTCCGATATACCATCCATCTTCCTTTTAAAGCGCCGCAGGCGAAAATTTTGAGAATTTGTGAGGACAAGGAGCTATATTTTTTAATTTTCTTGCGCCGCAGGCGAAAATTTTGAGAATTTTGGAAGACCAACCGGGGAAAATATTGCAAGGCCAACCCATATTTTTTTAAAAAACCAATCCTTAGGGGTGTAAAAAAGTTCCGGTTTGCCCGGAACCGATTTGTAAACCGGAGCCGGAACCGGAACCGGAACCAATTTGAGTTCCGGTTCCCGGAACCGGAACCGGAACCAAAAAAACACCGGAACTTTCCGGAACCGGAACCGGAACTTCCGGTGAAACTCTACAAAATATGTATAAATTTTGGTAAAAATATGCAAAATTTACCAAAATATGCACAGATTTGCAAATATGCACGAAAGGACCGAAATATGCAAAAATATGCATTAGGAACCGGGTCCTAAAGTGCTCGGACCAACGTAAAAACACCATATTTGAGCTTTCAGCTCATGGCATATCCGCATGCAAAATATGCATTTGCATGTTTTGACTCGCCCTAGCGATGTCTAAGTTCCAGTTCCGGAACTAATTAGTTCTAGTTCCAGAACTTGAACTACGGAACTAACGATTATCTGGAACTAGTTTGGAACTAGAACTACGGAACTAAATGCCTGGAACTAGCTTTGGAACTAGTTCTTGAGGGTATATTTTTGACAAAATTTCCTTGACGAAGTATTGTTGTAAATTACCTGCAGAGCGCTGAAAATGAAAAAAATCTGGCTGCTTGAGCTCCAAAATTCCCAAAATTTTCGCCTGGGGCGCTAAAAAAGTGAATTTTTGGCCTCTTAATTTATCTATTACGTAAAAATTTTTTATGCGAAAATCTCTAAACCCCGCGTCCCGCTAAATTTTAGAATACGATTTGCGGAGTTATTGGATTTATGGAGATTAAATTATGGGATTTGCGGAGATTAATCCCGCGAGATCCTGTCCCGTAAAAAATTTTGAAAAAACCCTAAAAAAGTGGATTGAAAAAAGTGAACTTAGTGCTTTTTTACTTATACTAATAATAAACCTGGTTCTTGAACTTACGAGATTGCGTGAATGCAATTTTGCCGCACACTAAATGATTTTTAAATTATGCCTTTATTTGTTAAAATTGATAAATCTTTTCATTTTCAAAAAAATTAAAAATTTGGAACTAGAACTAGCTTGGAACTAGTTCCAGAACTGGAACTAGGGAATTTCAAAAATGGAGTTCCGGAACTGAAACTACAAAAATTAAAAACCTGGTTCTGGAACTGGAACTACTAAATTTAAAAACCTAGTTCTGGAACTGGATCTAGAACTACAAATTTAAGGAACTACTAAATTAGTGTTTTTTTACTAATGCATATTAATTTTTTAAACACAATTTCACTACAGGGTGACATAAAAGAAACTGCACACCTTGTTTTTGGCATAACTTTATTCAAATCGAAGATATTGGGCTCAAATAAAGCTTAAATGATAGAGAAATAGATATTGAATAGAAATTGTCAAGAATTTTCGAAGTGACTCTCCCTTATTTGGATTAAGAGTAAAAGGGCGGAGAAAAATATTGAGGAAAAGTTTGCAAGTCAAAAAATTTTTTTTCAGAGAATAAATTTTTTATGAACTGATCATGTCAAAATTACCAAAGTGACTTATCTTGGGCAAAAAGTCTCCTCTTTCTAATCCACTTATTACTTATTCCCAAAATCTTTTTTATTTAACGATATAGTTTGTTATTTGCAAGTGTCAAAATCCTCTGATTTTCGTGAATCCTGAGGGTTTTCGTGAATTTATCGGAAATCCTTCAATGTGTTTTACAGCCTTGGATCCGAAGCCACTTTTGGCTTAGGGAAGGGATCCTACATCAGAATTCTTCCTCTTTCAATAAGACCTTTAATGTGCAGGGTTGGTGTGCAGCCAATTTACCCGGTTTTAACCCATCTCAAAAAATGCCGGCTCTACTCCAGTTTATGCGTCCAATCGACTTTTATGCGTCCAATGAAAGTTTATGCGTCCAATAAAAAGAAAATTGGATTTTTCTTGGTATTGCAAAGTTGGGGTATGGCTCCAAACCATTTCTTCATGTTCGGGACCTACGCCCACTGGGTCTGGGACCGTTCCTTGCCCTATACCTAGAAATTTCTGAAAGTTATAATCGTTTTTCTGAAATTTTAAAAAATTGGCTGTAACTTTAAAAAATTTCTAGGTATAGGGTAAGGAACGGTCCCAGACCCAGTGGGCGTAGGTCCCGAACATAAAGAAATGGTTTGGAGCCATACCCCAACTTTGCAATACCAAGAAAAATCCAATTTTCTTTTTATTGGACGCATAAACTTTCATTGGACGCATAAAAGTCGATTGGACGCATAAACTGGAGTAGAGCCAAAATGCCACCGTATTCATCGGATTTGAATCCGTTGGATAGAATTTTTATTCTGTTTTGAAGGCAAGGGTCTGTTCTTAATAAAACAGAAATTTTGAGTCGATTCGTCAACCACTTGCCCAGGAATGGGAGAAAATCCCAACCATGTAGGTGCGAACTTTTGCCTAAAATTTTTCCAAGCGCCTTGAACTCTGTATCCGAGTACAGGG